ACATCACCAAACCAAAAGATGACATTACCGGGAAAGAGTTCACGCAAAACTGACATTGAATAATTGGCTGTATGACAAGTTGCCCCGTCCTGTTGAAACCATGTGTTTTTCATGGTTATCCCTCCTAACATTCACAGTTGTGGAACCAAAAACCCGCTCAGTATTTCCATATAGCGTTCTGAGTTTACAGTGACGGGGGGTGTTCCCACTTTAGTCCTCAAAAACATATGGTCCGATGACTCCAAACCGTACCACACCACACTAGACAGTAACTTTCTTTCTACGAAGTGATGTTTTACCAAACATAACCTAAAAATGGCATAACATAAGCAATCGTTCACTACAACAATGAGGTCTCTAGCTAGTACAACAGCTGACTTATTACAAAACAGAAACCGTCAGGTTTTTTTGGCGCACCCTTTATTTATATATATTATGATAACTGTAGTGATTAGGGCTACTATTTTGATATACAAATTCATTGTTAAAAACTAAGTACCCTTTTTTGAAATTCATTTGATTTAAAATATTTAAATATTTAAAAATGAGTAAATAAATATTTAAATCAAATGAATGTCAAAAAAGGGTAATAATGCATTTGTATATGTGTATAAACTAGTTATGATTTGAAATAACTATGTCATTAATAATGCCATTCCAATTTCCAGTGGACCAAACATTTGAAATAAAGAAGTTCCATTTAAAGATACGCAATTTGTGGACAGAAAAATTGCTATTCTCGTTAAAAATGGATTTAATAATTTTAAAAGATACGAGTCTCGTATTTTTATTACAGCACATTTTAAAACAAAATATTCTACAATAATAAATTTTAACTGGGAGTAGTTTGGTGGTCCACAACGAGATTAAACAATCAAGTGGTTTCCTTGTAATAGGTTATTAACTGTTAACAAGTAAAAAAACCTCTTTGTTTTATTACCCGGAAAAACGTATGCTCAAACACGCCGTCTTTTATTATTCAAACGAAGGTCATGGTGTAGTAAAGCCATAAACCCACCATAAAACAGAGAGATTATTCAAAGTCATCAGAGAATGACTAGGTATCCACCCAAGGAGTTTCCATGAAGTTACTAGGAAGTGACAGTTAATTGAACCAACTCTTTATATATCTTTAGAATTTTATGTTTTAGAGTGGTATAGTGCATTGGTACACTTTACATATTTATTAAAAAAAAACATAATATATTAGCAGGCATATGTTAGCAGCAAATGTCAATTTATTAAATTCAATCTGTAGGGTTTTGATTATGAGTGACGCTGTATTGCAAGGTACAACAAATGTTAATTTTTAATGAATCTTACAATCCTTGGAATCTTTAAAACAGTATTCTTGTAAATGGATATTATTTTATTTTATTCTAGTTTGTTTTAAGATAGTAGACAAGTTTAAGTGTTCTATCAAAATATTAATAATTTCTTCTAATACATTCTTTAAAGTGATTGTTTAAACTTTATTTAATAAACAAAATATACAGTACCCTAAAATTATCTATAATCTTACATGCCTTTTCCGTATATTAACGGGTATATAAGTGTTTTAATTATAAAAATATTATCGGTTTGCGTTTTGACCTCCTATTGACCTCTATCGATTAAGTCTGTTTTCTCAATCAGTGTTTTCCGAGGTGTTTGTACTAATAGTGAGTATTAAGTAATAAAGGACGTTTTACTTGACTATCTAATCACTATCTTTGGTTTTACCTAACCAGTCTTATTTGTTAATCTGATTTAGAACAGTCCCCGGCTTAAATACTTCAAGCTTATCAATTTACCGTTATTTTATGTGAAATAATAAAACATAGGTTGTTGACAATCAACAAATGATTTTCAAGTTGTGTGTTTATTCCCACTTAACCCGACCTTATTTTTCGTTCATATACTATTTGGTCTTAATACTGATGCACTGTGTGTCCATTTGATCAGAAAAATTGAATTTATTACAATGATTAGAAATTTGAATGCCCAAGCAGTTTATTACATTTTTAGACATTATACATGTCACAGCAAACCTGCTGGCTAAGCGAATTTACGTTTGCTTTATTGTGTGTTTATTCATACAGGTTAACAAAAATATAATCAACACTTATACGAGAGACAAAGAGTAAAATCTGTCCCCGTTAATACTGAACTTACGGTTCTGCTACAAGGGACACTGGCAATGTTGCTTTTGTTGAAGTTATAAAGTTAACAATAAAATAAATAAAATTACAAAACTGTAAGAAAATGACAATATACACATCCGTAATGGTAAATACCAGATAAAGTTCTGCGTTTTTACATTGTTGAGAATTTAAAAGTGTAGCTGCAAAAAAGTGACGTATCTTATTTTTTGTGAGTATAAACCCACCTCAATTCAAACACCTAATTCTAATCATATAGTTATGCTGGTTGGCAAACTCATTAAAAAATAAAAGGACGTTTTTGTTGGTGGTTCGATTAAAATTCCAATCATGGTCGGATGTCCGCTACAAATGTTTCCGCGACCACGGTGCATATAAGCATTGACTTTATATCTCTACACTAGACATCTTATCGTGTACTAAAATCCGTCGCCAACGATTTCAGCCGAACTAGTAGAGTAAACCCTCCATGCGGTGTCGCTCCTAGCGGAGCGAGATATAAAGTGTAGAGATATAAAGTCAATGATATAAGTTTTGACAGTGTAATTTTGTTTGTCTTTTCGGTACCCTAGAAACAAAAAAGTGTATATGTTAATAATGTATAAAATAAAAGTTATGGTAAAAACTACCTTCCCAGGGTGAAAATTGGAAATAATAAAGTAAAACAGCATTTAGCATTTTTCATATAAACTTTGTTCTGGTGTTTCGGGGTTGGTGAACTCAAATACTGTAATTCCATTCATTTATTCAACCCCCAGCTTATCCAATCTGTACTTTGAAACAACCAAGACTTAACAAATGATTTTCTAGTGTGAGTTATTAAAGAGGTAATTCATTATTTCATTTTATGCGTTTCCAAAATACGTCTTGACAGAGGACCGCGTTGTCACCAGTTGTCACGTAGACGTAGCTGTATGTGTGTTTGTCGTTGGAGTCCTCGACATCCTTCTTGTGTCCACAGTACTGCCCTTCAGCACCAGCTCTTGTCTTTCATAATGTCTTTTCTGTGAATGCTGAACATGATCCGACTTGCAGTTTGGCATTTTAACAGAAACGCCATTATCAATGCAGTCGGCGTTTGAAGGTAGTTTGTTGTTGAGTGTTTACAAACGTTTAAGTTTTGAGTACCGATACTAAAAGGTAGTGTTAATTATAAGGTGTAGGTGAAAAGGTAAATTTAAGGAATTTCAAATACTAAACCGTAGTTGCAATTTTTAATTAAATTATTTACCGAATCATTTTCTAACATTAAAATCTCGCCTAGAGCCATTGGAGCTTTTGGTACTTGGGAAATGTTCGTTACAATTTATCAAATTGATTATTTCTTCGAAACGATACACCATTTACAAATAAATACTCACAACATTTCTCGTAAAATGCTTAAAATATTTTTTTTCAAAGGTCAGGTTGTGAAGTATACCGTATGACCTGATTGGAACGCTCACATCTCTACTTGCCACCAGCTAATTAAACTAAATATACAAAATATCTATAGAACGATGCATTAATGGATGCCTACTGAAGGTTACCTATGTAGTCAAACTAACGGTAAAAAGTTTATTTATTATGTTCGTGGCATCTGTGCTAGAATAGATTGTATTAGAGCAGAAAGTATTTCCCGTTTGTACAAACCGTTCAATACAGTATATTGATTTCCAACATAAGTTCTAAGGTACGAAATGTTTACAGGTAAAATGTATGCATTTTGAATAATTAAAATTTGTTGTATCATTGTTGTATACATCATAGCATAGCGTTTTAAGTACAGTGCAGTTATCAATCCATGCAGAATCGGTCCCTAAGGCATGTGCTTTTAAACTTTTCTCAAACCCATACGAAGTTAGAAATAAACGCAGTAGAATAGTTTGTAGTTGAACTAGGTTGAATACTCATAGACACATATTGAATCCATTTTAATTGTGTTGCAAATTTAAATTTCGATCTGCTTAATTAATGTCAGTAGCGAAAAGGTTATGCAGCAAATTAAATTATGTAGGAAGTTAAATTATGATGTGGAAATTAACATATCGTACATGTGGTTGGAGTAAAACAAAAAATACTAAAAGGGAAATAAGCATGCAGTAGCAAAATGTTTGATGGGTGTTGCTGAGCTTCAGTTCCATTGACATAATATCTACCAGCGTTTACTTCGAAAAACCGGAAAAACACATCGAATAGCTGAATTTAAAAGATAAACGAGATGCACAGGGTATATAAATTATTATTCACGCATTACAGCAAATTATTTATAACAATACCAGTAAGCACATCAACTGCACCTAACTATAAAAATACATTTTAACAATTCGTCATTTTATCGTAAGAGTATATACAAATGCCTTACTGATCACGCAAAACTGCAATGAAAAAATCACAATACGTGCCCTAATAGAATTCAATTCGAAGTATTATTGTTTACAAATTATTATTACACTAGGTGATATCCGACGAAATTACAGGTTTTATTAAAGATGGCATAATTATTTTATCAACTTTTTTATCGGAAGAAAACTACTACATTTCATTAGATTAATGTCCTTAGTTATAGTTACTATTAGATTTTAGAAATGCCTACGTCACCACTCAATCCGGAATGATGTCACAACAACCCGTCACTCGAAATATAACCGCTTACAAATTATAACTTTGAAAAAAAGTATAGATTTTGTCATAGTAGAGAATCGGGCCTGTTTACAAGTGCGGTAATCCCCATCATATAAGAACAATAACAATACATTCTTTTTACAAGCATTTTGCGTACCGGAACTCGAGGTATACATTTTTTACAAATTTGCACTCTGTTATAAAAATGTAACAATATTGAAATAGGTCTGTAATTAATGGTATGCAAATCCTTACCTTATTGTGCAGCTGAGCTCGGTCGTAGCACAAGTGTGAGTCCTCTCGTAGAGGCGTTAATGGCTGTCAAACATCATCTTTGCAAACATATGACGCCACTCACCACTGAGGCCACCACTTTATGACAGGTAGGGTTTGTTGCAAAAATGCCGTTCTTGCGGATATAGATCTAAGTAAATAACTGATTTATCTTTTCATGATAGCCGGATTATTGGTCATATACTGTATTTATAGATTTGATCAATATTGGGACATTTCACCAGGGGTTGACGTGCTTACTTGTTAAATCGCTCAGTACTAATCAACAATTTTAACGAACTGTGTTTTAGTGTATTTTAATGTTGGGAACTATATATAGATGTAGAGCCGAGTTGATAGAGTGCTCGCCTGATGAAAGGTTTTTGGGTCGATCCTGTGAATTGTCTAAAAGTTTTTTTTACCTTCTGAAACTAGACCAAGCTCTTGATCATGAAGCTTCCAATAAATGGCCCTAGCTATGGCTATCTGTTCTTAGTCAATAACACAACTACTGTCACCTCATTCATCCAACACTCATCTTTTTAATACTTTTTCAATGAAAGGCGACCACACAAAGTAGATATTTTAAGCCAAGTATGAATGGAGGTGAGTTTAGGATGAGTGGCGCGATCTTGTAGTCTTGTTAGTGACTAAGGCCGACATATTCCTAATGCTAATGACAACTAAGGGGCCTACAGTTTATAGTGGAATCTGAACCATATTTTTGCCTTGGTTTGGTGTATACGAATTGGTCAAATTATCAGGATAGTACTGTAGATAATCGTAGTAGTCACTAATATGGACGTTAATCCACACAAGGGATGCTCTTTCAGTCATCATCGTCTTAAAACGTTTAAAATTATGAGACATAAAATATTAATGATATTATTACTCTTGCTGTTTTGCCAATGCATTGACTAATTTTTAGAATAGTTCTGCTGTTTTTATCAAATGTTTGTTAATGATTCTTTGTTAACTTAGAATTGTAACTTTTCCATATACTTACTCCATGTACTTAATACTTTACTTAAACGCAAAAAAATTCCTTTTAAGCAATTATTGAATTTGACGAGTTCTTTTGCTCCGTGCATTGCAATGGCTCGACTTATGTACGCATCGTTGGGCTGTGTACGCAACCAACAAATTAAAATAATTTTTCAAAGAAACGTAATATTTTTGTCCATTGAAACAATCGATTAATGCAAAATAATAGTAGGAAAGGGATTGTAGTGCAGCAATATTAACTTTTATAAAATAACATGACGAAATAGCTGTTCACTATACGACATTTCATGAAAATGTATGAATTTTGTTTAGATCAACAACTTGAAAAAACCCTTCTTTGATGTAAGAAAAAACACTAGACAGTTGTACTCCTACTTATTAGTAGTTGTAAGTAGGTATATTCGTTTAGCTTTGGCACAGCATAACCAACGACCGTGCGTGGAAAAGTATAAATACACCTATTAACGTTTGTATTCACCTAAACTCCTGTTAATTGTTTAGCTAATGACTATTCGCCTGAGGGCAAACGCTATTTTAAACGTTTTGTTTGACAGCGCTTGCATAAGTGATTATATTGAAAACAAACAACATGTATATTTTTTGTAATTAAAAGCTAATGCAAAAGAGAGGTTAAGAGTAATCGTATGGTATCCTACGCACTTGTATCTTACATCAATTGGTGAACAGCAAACAATGACAGGTTGTATAATGGACGCTATGTCCATTGTGCGTTGTGTTCAATGGAGAAACAACATGTAATCCAATAAGTTTAAAAAATTAATTTATTCCAATCAATTTTCAGTTATGCAAATATAAGGAAATAGTTAACATGCGATGAAAAGTTAAACTACTAGTACATCTGAAGATTTAAGTACATAGATAAGCTCACTTGTACTGTATGTAACGTATTATCATTTCAATATTTATACTATAGCGAGGGTAGCGTACATACTTGGGGTTTATTACAAAAAATATAATTTTTTTTTCTTATGGACTAAGACAGGGTTTAAAAATCGTCCAGAAGATAATAATTTTATTTGATCTTATCTCTGCTAGCAATTTGTACGAATGTTATTTTTCTTATTATTATATAGTGTATGTGTAGTGAGTGTGTTCTTTTGTCGTATTTGAATAAAATTGCTAAGATATTTTCGTTATTTTCACTTTGATGGTTTGTTCGCCAAATCTCCAATACATTGAGAATACCGCAACGATTGTAGACCAAACACTCAATGCAGTAAAGCTTGGTCACCAAACATTCAATACAGTAAAGCTCAGTCACCAAACATGCAATACAGTAAAGCTCGGTCACCAAACATTCAATACAGTAAAGCTTGGTTATCAAACATGCAATACAGTAAAGCTTGGTCACCAAACATTCAATACAGTAAAGCTCTGTCACCAAACATGCAATACAGTAAAGCTCGGTCACCAAACATTCAATATAGTAGAGCTCGGTCACTAAACATTCAATACAGTAAAGCTTGGTTATCAAACATGCAATACAGTAAAGCTTGGTCACCAAACATTCAATACAGTAAAGCTCGGTCACCAAACATCCAATACATTGAGAATACAGCAACGATCGTAGACCAAACATTCAATACAGTAAAGCTTGGTCACCAAACTTACTATAAAACAAAGTTCGCCGTCACCGAGTGTCGGTGGTGTAGGCCAATCAATTAAACGGGGATCGACAAACCCATTGTCAATAATGAATGCGTTAAGTATCGTATAGCGTGCTCGATTATTTTAAGTTTGGTTTATAAAGCCATTAGGAGCGGTACAATATATATTTTTCGGCTTGAATAATTTACTTAAAAAAGAAGACACATTCTTCTTTCATTTTAGTATAACCATTATAACTTTAAAAATGTCTTTCATGCTTTGATTTATACATATATTTGACTAAAGATACATAGCATTCAAGTTCAATATTTTATCATTAACTAACAAACAGATTCAGACACATGAAATGTTATGTTATAGAAAAGTCGCGTCGTAAGTAAAATTTCTTCGTTATACATAACACAAAGTAATCAATATTATACACATTAAAATATTTTTTTTTATTTTAAAATTTTTTTGTAAGTTTTTTGATAAAACAAACTTTAGATGCGTAGTCAAAATTACAAAACTGTCTTATAATTTATTTTTTATTTAAAATTTCAATCCAATTTTCTACCAAATTCCAATCCAATTTTCTACAAAATTTCAAGGTATTTAATGAGGAATCTGGAAAGTTTTGATTTAGAGAACACAATTAAAGTATAAGATAAACAAACCAGAAATTGAACAGTTATGTCCGGTGACACTGATCGCTAGTTTCGACGAAATTTTCTTTTCGAGTTTTTAATTAGGGTTAATTTCATGATTATTTGTGCTTTACTGTTTGGTTATATAACTAGGAGATGAGTTTTTGTTTATGAAATCGTTGTATTTGGTTAAACGAAGTTTTAAATGACTGAAATAACAAGAAACAGTAGAACCATTGACTAGGTAGAAGTTGTTGCTACTGCATTGTCTTTAGACAGCTGTGTTTGTTGTTCTTAGTATCTATTTTCCGGTATTTACTCAGGGGAGGTATAGAAGAGGCTACGATGACAGCTGAGGGCTTCTTATTAGCTGAGGGAACGCCATTACCGTAACAAAACTATCGATAGCCATCGGACCTCGGTGGTCTAATGGTTAGCGTGCCGGGCTGATATACTGTAGGTCCCGGGTTCGAATTCCGCTGGTAGCATCAACTTTTTGTCCAAGATTATTTTTATTATCAGCAAGTTTGGTTGGTTTGGTTTGGTTATTACAGTTTAATTTTATAATTAAGTCATTATAAAATTTTAATTGAGCAATTTCTAGTTTTATTTAATAAACAGAATTATTTTTCCGACTACTAAACTCTTGTTATATTATTTCTTTATCAGCAAGTTTGGTTAGTTCGGTTAGGTTATGATAGTTTAATTTTATAATTAAAAAATAGTAAAATTGAATTTGAGGCATTTATAATTTTATTTTATGAGCAGAACTATTTTTGCGATTAGTAAACCTTCATTGCCAAAGTGCTCTCTACTACAGCGCTGTTCACGGAGGAATTTTGAACTAAATGCCTCATTTGTACCTCCCCTAAGTCAGACCCCTATTTTCCATTTTGGTTACCGGTACTAAGGAAATATAAACATTGTAAACTTTTTGAAGAAAGAAAGTTCATACAAGCTCTTAATTATTTAACGTAATAACTTAAAACTTAAATTAAGGCAGGTAATCAAACAAACTAATTTACAAATATCACGACAGATGTCATTGGAATCGACTGGGTACTCAAATGAGTTAAGAATCATCTGTTGGAATGAATGGCAAGTAAAAATACCCCGCTTCAGCAAACCTGCAGACCAAGCGAATTTCTATATTGCCTGAATTGATATACTATTTAATATATTAAATAACATTAGGTTAAACGAGTACCTAGGTTTGCTACAGGGAGGCTAATAAGGTGTGTTTATTTAGTAAAATATTAATAGCTTAGTACTAAATAAATAAATTTGCCAACTGACATAACATTGTAAATTATATAGGCAAACACGTAGATTTTGTTCTTATATTCTTAACTATTGACCTATGACCAAATGGAACGCCTGGTTCTTAAACTGTTGTAAGTTATAATATGCTCCACCTAGTTCCTCGGTGTCCCCCAAGTTTTTATCACCCAAAGCCTCGCCTGCAGATGAGGAAATATCAATGATAAGACAAGAGTACAGACAAACACTACTCTATCTATATTTTGCCCTATTTGTGATCCATAAACGTATACACTTCTGTTGTTTGTTATTCTTTAGTTTTTACAGCATTTCACATTTCTGCCCTACATTAGTTAAAGCCTTCCCTTATAAACTAGGGTTGCTTTCAGAGAGGTGAAAGCCAGTTTTGCGGAACAAACGTGATTTTATATTTGTATAAGTAACTAAATGTAAAAAAAGTCAATAGAGGCTAGTTTTATTGATTAAAATTATAATAATTCATATTTCTTTTTACTACATCTTGTTATTCAGATACCTCTTCCAAAAGTGCATTATGGTAGTTTTGACCAGGAAAATATTATCAGTTTATTTGGTGCAACACAAATAAACAACCCGATCACCTACCTATAATCTACACTTTACATTCCTAATCTAACCTTACTTCAAAACACTTAAGTCACGAATAATCATAAACCCCGACCTACCTTCCCCACATACCTAAATTAGATCAGTGTTCAATCTGCGTTTTATTAATAAGTGTAATAACTTACTGAACCGTCGATGTAATTCAACATGATATAACCTGTGATGTACTATCGGATTAAATATCGATTTCGATTCGGTTCAACATATCGCTTATTAAATCCTGATTTCTAACATTGGCTGTTTCTAATCAGCTGGCAACACAAATAGGTTCTCAAGAAAGTAGTCACTGGTCCTCCACTTATGGTTCTCTTGTTTACATTTTTCTTGTAAACATAAAACTGTCATATGGCTACTTTAGTCCCATAAGCCTAATGTTAAAATTTGGAAATTTTAAGTTCGTTTTAAATTTCATTAGCATTATCTAATTGAAATTTGTTTGTTTATTAACCATCTCACTATTAGTCTAAGTAATCTTGTTAAGTTTAGCTGAAATGTGTTCTGCCGTTATTGAGTGATGTTGCTTTATTTGTTGCATTGAAGTTGATCCCAAAGAGCTACGCTCAATAACCATGACACACTTTTGATTCAGAACTACACGAAAATTATATAAAATATAGCTTTCCGAGAGTCAACATATATATACCAGAAGCCAAGCACTTTAGGATACAAATATGTAATCTAAACAAAAAACCCAAAAACCACTGACAGATTGGGACAGCAAAATAAAGAGGATATTTTTATCTCACACTAAGAGTGGTATCTGTAATTTGTATCTCTTTTGAATGAGGTTTATGTTTACACACTTGAGCCTTTGATGTATAGTTTGTTTGGACGTGCGATATTCACCGTTGTTCTATTAATAGAATTGAGTCAATAGTAGTTGTACTGTGCAATATGATGTATTATGAAAATTCTAAAATACAGCGTTGAAGTGGTAATATTAAATCATCGATTGTGAATGATATTTAGATAAAAATAGTTTTTCATTGCTTGAAAGATAGCTAAACAAAAATTACCAGTATATTAACGTTTGATTACAAATAGTTATCGATGCACTACAGTATTTGATAAACATTCCAAAAGCGTTAGAAGCGGTAAAATGTATTTAACACTGGCATGGCTACTACATAAAATTGTGTACGGTATGCGAACTCCTTTTTTTCCACCTTCAAGAGCCTCATAACAGTTTATGTTACTTACCTCAAAGTAGGCTAGTTATAGAAAAATCACTGTCTTTATGCTTCATATTGATTTCTACAACCATAGATTAAAGGAGTATACACTGTGGTCGTCCTGTGGTCGAAACTCGACCAAAAATAATTAGTGTACAGACTTCTCTATTTTCTCCCCACACTGTAAAAAAAACATGTGATTGGAATTTCTTCCATTTGTTTTGATTTTCTGTTTACATTTTGTTGTTATTTCGTCACCATCATGGCAACCCATATGGTCCATGTTAATTTTTTGAAGTTTTCAAATTCATTTTTTGTTCTTATTTGTTAGCCTATTTTAATTTTTAAAAGCATTCTGCACATCTACAGGAAAATATCTTTCCATCAGTATGCGTAGATTTTCCCTGCGATGCACACGAGCTGAGAAAAAAGGTTTTAAAGAAACATGCTTGCCTATTAATATATAGATAGATACACTGTGGTGTGTATACTCCTTTAATCTATGCTACAATGTCCCACGAGTGCTGTGCATTATAACATTTAACCAACTCTACACTAAATATTACCTTAAATGTATTACAGCATGTTAAAAACATAGTGTTATAAAGAACTAAAGTGCAGTATAAAGTTAGCCGAGGATGAGCTATTTAGTGCTCAACACGTTGGCCCAAAAAGCCAGTGTTTTACCATTGTTTTGATCTCGCTAATCTAATGACAATAACGGTGCGGGGGTTTCATGAGTTAAAATCCCGCCGATCACCAATCGGTTATCAGCTATGCTCACCATTCTAGTACACAATAACGTGAGGAGAACTGTCCCTATATCACAGAACTCTCTCCACTAATGTTATTAATAATAGGTAATAAGCAATAATAATAGAAATGCTGCTCTCGGTGGTTCTTCTCATCGTCTTCTAAATAAAAATCAAAACGGTGATATTAATTAGAGAACATTTTTTTCGTGTGTTACAAAAAATAGTTAATGTATTTTGAATTTTGAAAAACAACTGAAGTAGGTACTGTAAACCACAGAGAAGTAAGACACTGTATAGCAAGTAAGATACGTAAGATATAATAAGTTATCTTACTTCTCTGTGTGTAACCAAGCGAGGAATTTTCACTGGCTTTTTCCTAACTTAGCAGAAGAAATTACTATTTTATAATAGAAACGTTACATTTTTGTAGCATTGACTATAAAAATCAGTGTTCATATTCAATGTTTAAGGTCATTAGCACCTGTACCTGATAGTCCCCCCTCCCTTCTACCGCCTCATTGTTGCGACTGTGACTGTGCCAACTTGATATCAGTCAGTATCAGCGCGGCAGAGGCAGTGTATTGTTGTAGGCTACTTTACGTATATCAGTGCACTTCGGTCACACCATGTCGTAGCCGCTGTGACCTTGAACTATGCTAGGCAAGGTTCTATACATCTCACAGTTCCTCAGTGATTGCCTATATTTGTTTGTGCTGTACAGGGTAAGTGTTCTGTTTTGGTTTGTATTTATTGCATTTTAAGTATTCCATATGGTGGATTTGGATTTCGTTTGTTAACAAATACATGTCGGATGCAGGTCGCAAACTTAAAAGATAGGCCTAATCGCAAATTGTGTATGGGCAGTGATTTTGTTGTATTTGTATACATAATCGGTTTCTTCCTCATCTACATGGCTACTGAACTTCCAATTTTAATTGTGTTTGATTAAATATGTTTCCTTACATTTAGTTCGGTTACATATTTGATCAGTGTTTGGTAATTTATTTCCTAGCATTTTTAAAAGTAACTAAAATTATATAGGTACATGTGTATTTTACTCTTTTACATTCCATATGGTGGATTTGGATTTCGTTTGTTAACAAATACATGTCGGATGCAGGTCGCAAACTTAAAAGATAGGCCTAATCGCAAATTGTGTATGGGCAGTGATTTTGTTGTATTTGTATACATAATCGGTTTCTTCCTCATCTACATGGCTACTGAACTTCCAATTTTAATTGTGTTTGATTAAATTTGTTTCCTTACATTTAGTTCGGTTACATATTTGATCAGTGTTTGGTAATTTATTTCCTAGCATTTTTAAAAGTAACTAAAATTATATACATGTGTATTTTACTCTTTTACATTGTTTTAGCTTAACAACTATACCCAAACGAACCCCTCGGAATTTTACCCCCGGATTTTTACCCCCCGGAATTTTACCCCCTGGTCGATTTTAGAAATTGAATGATTGATTTTCTCATTTCTGTTTTTAATTAATTGTAAACATTTTATTATTTAGTAGTCTATCTTTATTTATTTATTTTGTAAAGAAATGTTCGTAACAATTATCATTCAGTTGATTGTTTATACATCATATTAACCAACTGTTGGCTTCAAAGATCGAATCCTAATACTAGAATCTCAAAATTAAAATTAAAAACCTGTTCGATTAGTTAATGTTACAAAAAAATTAATATAGGCTACTTAAATAATAAAATGTTTACTATTAAATTGAAACAGAATGAATATAATTAATCATTCTCACTAATTTATATATCTGGCCAGGGGGTAAAAATCCGGGGGTAAAAATCCGGGGGGTAAAATTCCGGGGGTAAAATTCCAGGGGTAAAATCCGGGCCGTACACTCTTGGTTTTTGTCTTTTGATGTGTTTTGATTAAATTCACAACCGTGCAAATATGAGTTTAATTCTGCGTTTAATCCATCGAGCTGATGTCGCGAAACTCTAAAGTTCGCGGCCGGAATTTTACCCCCTGGTTTGTGACGTCACGTTTGCCCAGGGGGTAAAATTCCAGGGGGATAAAAATCCGCTACCCCGGCTATTAATTAACAGCTGTGTCTAAGGAATGTCGGCCTTAGTCACTAACAAGACTACAAGATCGCGCCACTCATCCTACACTCATCTCCATTCATACTTGGCTTAAAATACCTACTTTGTATGGTCGCCATTTCATCGAAAAGTATTAAAGTATTAAAGTAAACAATTGTTTTACGTTATTTTGCATTTATTGGTCAAACCTCTTCAAAAACGACATAGAATTGGCAATATTATTTGAAATCACTCATATAAAACTAAAAAAAAAAACAATTACTGTATTAGGCAAAGTCTTTAGAAAATCTGTTATGAGGAAAAATCAAGAAAAACTTGGTCGTACTAATCATTTTCTGTTATGGTGCCCACAATTTCCAAAAATGTCAAGAACAGTCCAACAACATCGACATAAACTTGCGCTGCTCCCACAATATAGTCACTGGGTGTAATATGGCTGACACGATGGCCTCCCATTACAGATTTTATATCATGCAAGAGAAAAGCCGAAAATAGTGCAACCAATATGCCTGGGTATAAAAAAGTTGCGAAAGGATAATTTCCAACCACTGCAATGATTATTGCCATCAATACAAATATGACCAAGAATATCCCCATGATTCCCAAAATCGATTTCCATGTGGTAATTTCAAAACGGCAACCGCATGCTAGGATAGCAATCAAGAAGGTGACAACAACAGTCAATATAAAGGTGTAAAAAACCACAACAGTTTCAAACCACACGGTACAACAGGCACAGGTGCCAGCCATGCCGATGGTGAGGAACAAAAGTAATACGATGTTGGTTGGGAATTCTTTACGAGTGGTTTCACAACAAACTAACATAAAGTACGGCACAATGAGGACCACCAGAAACACAAATATCACCCAAGAATTGTCCAATACCAACTGCTTTGCTTCGTCCAAGACAACAAAAGGTAATGCACATATCACAGTGAACATCAATTGAAAAGTAATTATGGAAAAGACAATGACTGTGAATCTCGTCCTATTTCCAGGATCACTGAAGTCAGGTTTGTGCTCCTCTTCATAGTACTCAGACAAGAATGAAGCTTTACTTGCACTGGTTTTTAAAGTCGGCTTGCTCTTTTTTCCACTTTTTCTATCTTCTGGAATTGAAAATTTTGCAATAGTTTCAGGATCCGACATCTTAAAAAAGTTTCTTGTAAAGATAAAAGTGGATTAGTTTTGGAACAAACTATTGGCAATATTAGAAACACAAAAATATTGACGTTATAACATTTTCTGGTATAAAATGTATTTAAATGTCATATGTAAAATAAATACAATAAAACAGCAGCTGTATTATTGTTTTCACTAAATAACCATCTATCTTATGTTGAAATAACCTGAAATTAGTTTTTTGCTATTAAAAGTTTCAATCATGTATTTATTTGAGGAAAAGCAGTTTGATAGTGCAAGCGCTGCATTGGATAAGTATATCCAACAGTGGGAACAAAATAATGGTTACATCACAACTCCAAATTTCACTGTGCAAGACAATCGTGATATAAAAAAAGCAGTTCATACAATATGGAACAGCCTAGCTGTCCAAGAAGTTGGGGAAGGATACCAATTTATTAAGAAATCCAAACACACTACTTCAAGTCTTAACAAAGATTTTTCTCCAATAATTTCGAAGGCGTCTGATTTTGGGATATAATGATAAAAAGATTGTTCTTTGAAAATTAATAAAAGTCTTACAATTATAGGCTATTCAATATTTGTTCATATTATGCTAGGTAAAAATTCTGTTGAACATTGAATGTCAAAGAATTGCAGCTGTAAGAGCCATAAGATCTCAGAAGCAAGACAAACTGGTTTATTGTTAATGTTTTTCCAAATAGTAATTCTCATTCAAGATCAATATTATTTGTCAACCATTTATAATTTTGAAACGGAATACAAATAAAAATGTGGTATAAAGTTGTGGATGTACTCACTGAGGTAAATTATTTGCAATCACAATTTGGCACTGCAGTATAACATTACAAAAAATATAAAGTATCACTTTTGCAATTAAATTACCATAAAGGGTTGAAAAATACCCCCTCTAGCAAAAACTCCAGACTAAACAAATTTCCATGTACCTGATTGAAATTTGTATTAAAATTTAATCATTTATGTGTGCAATATAATAAAAGTTGGTTTTATTCTCTATTTAAATAGCTTTAGGTTTTATAAGTACTTAGGTTTGCTGTGACAGCAAAATAAATTTAAAAGTGTCTCTTAGTTGTTTCTTAGTGAAATGTTAAAAGCTTAGTACATATAAAGTAATTAAACTTGCCAAATTTGATAAGTATAAATCTATAAACAATCAAACTAGAATGTTTACGTATTCTTAAATTAGAATAACAATACTAATAGTTGGTTCATCAAAATGTTTAGACGTTGGCCCTTGGTTGGCAAATGATGGGTTGGCCCAACGTAGGCAAGATAGCCAATACATACTGTTGGCCAACCGTGGGAGACAGTCGTTGGGCCAACCAATCCCCAACCATTTCTGTTGATAGGGAAATATCATTTAAAAAAATGTTAGTTATAGTTAGGCTATTTAGGGTATGGTTATCTAGAGTGTGGGGGGTTCTCCCTGGAACCTTTAATTGAGTTAAGGGTGTCGCCACCTTTGGTGGATAAGTTATCCGGGTGGGTCCCACTTCTATACCTGCCTCCTTTTGGGAAACCCTGATGGCCTGGCAGTGATGGGCTAGATGGCTAGATGGCTAGATGGGCAAACAAAGTAGATAGGGTGCTGGGATCAAGTCCGCTAGGGGTATCTGGGGATCTTTCGCCCTGTTTATCCCTGGTTTCCCAGTAATGGGTTGGCCTCAATCGGGTAGTGGTGGAAATGGGTGGTTGGGGTTCCCCTGTCAGCTTGCTGACGGTCCCCTTCCTCCTGGCTTTGATGGCGGGTTTCGGCCTGTCAGGGATTAGATAGGTCCCGAGTGTTGCTTGCACTGTGTTTATTTATTTATTTTATTTATTTATTTATTCACTACATGTCATTACATCATTTGACAGGACATAAAGTCATATACAGGATAATACTAACAATAAGAAATAACAAAAATGTCTTACTAAATTATTAATCTAACTTAACATCCCTATTTAATTAACATTCGATAGAAAAAACCTTTTTTTGTTTATAACCAGGTCTTCAGGGTGGATCTGAACTGTGTATTACTATCAATATTTTTTATGCGAAGTGGTAACTTATTGTAAACTTGTGGGCCTATATATTGGGGAGATAAATGAAATTTCTCTAATCTATGGGTTTCAGGCTTAATATAACTCTTAAATCTAGTGTGATGGGAATGAATGGGTTGGTTCATGAATGAGGAGAGATTGTCTTTAACCCAATTTGAAATTTCTAAAATATAGTGATCATAAAATGTTAAAACTGAAAATGTTTGAAAAAGACTTTTACAAGGAGTTCTACGAGGAACTCGCCCAATAATTCTAATTGCTTTTTGTTGAAGTTTGAACATTTTGTTGGAGTGGCATGAGTTTCCCCAAACCAGAATACCATATGTCATTATTGAAGAAAAATAAGCATGATAAACTATAAGCTGAGTCTTCAAGTCAACAGCTTGTCTGATTGCACGAAGAGAGAAAATACAGCGGTTTAATCGTTTGATCAAATTAACAACTTGTGATTTCCAGTTAAGATTTTCATTGACAGTTATACCAAAAAAATTCACATTTTGCTGCAGTGGCATTTTAGATTTTGATGTTGTAATTTTACCTGTTTTATATTGATTATTATTAGAACTAAACTCTATAAGCTGAGTTTTATCATCATTCATAACCAACCCATTCACCTGGAACCAGTCTCTGAGCGCTTGCACCTCCCTGTCGAGTGTGTGTCGCAGGGAGTCGATACTGGGTGCCGTACATAGCACCATTGTATCGTCTGCATACTGAAAGAGTTCCATATTGGAGACTTGAGGTAGGTCATTAACATAGATTATGAACATACTAGGGCCCAGTATCGACCCCTGAGGCACACTACATGGTACTTTCCCCCAAGTTGAATAAACAGTTTCATTATTTTTTGTTAATTTAGTTCTCTGAAACCGATTGGAAAGATAAGAAGAAAATAAATTAATTTCTTTGCCTTTAATACCAATTTTTTAAAATTTACCAATGAGGATGTCGTGATCAACGCAATCAAACGCCCGGGACAGGTCACAGAGAACACCAGCTGCTCTCTGAGATCCATCCAGAGCCTGTGTGATGCAGTTAACCATTCTTGCCATTGATGTTTGACAACTGTGCCCTTTTCGGAAACCAAATTGAGTATTGTTTAAGATGTTGTTACTTTCTAAAAAAGATCTTAATTGAATATCAATAGCTTTTTCAAATATTTTGGAAAAACATGGAAGTAATGGGATAGGACGATAATTGATGATAATTGTTGCGTTCAGGGCATTCCATTATGGTCCTTCAGGGTTTCGGCCTTGGTAACCCTCTTTCCGAAGGGTTGCTTTGGCAGCTGGTGAGCTTGATGACCTTAAGTCATCCACCCATGGTGTGTTCAAGGTAGGTGCGCAAGCTCCAGCCGACACTATGGGGCCCGGGTTATGTTTAATTATGGGTACCGGGTGGTCGTTGGGGGGCCTTGGCTCCTTTGACAAATAATAATAATAATAATAATAATAATAATAATAGTAAGGTTATTTGAGTTAGTGCTTGTCCCAGACAGGCAGGTCAATCATGTCTTTACCCACGGAACTGCTGGGTGGTGCTATACTAGTGTTCAGTCTGTTCACTGCCATTCATATCCCTTCCGCTAATACACAAAGTTCTTCAACTACAGTTGAGTCTGAGTTATATGTATGGGCATGTTTCAGCTAGGCATGTCAATCATGTCTTTACCCACGGAACTGCTGGGTGGTGCTATACTAGTGTTGCTGGTCTGTATGTTCACCATCAGTCATGCCTTCCGCTACTACACAAAGTTCTTCATCTTCATCACCCTCAGTCTAATATCCGGTACAATATTCATGCCAATCATGTTCCTAAGACCGAGGGATTACAGGAACGCATTGTGAGTAAAGAAATAGTGGGTGAGCTTATTTTTTTCATTTAATTTAGATATTGATTGAGTAGGGTAGTTAAGTAAATTCTCATAGACATTTAGTAGCATTGGCCCTCACTTCCTTGCCCTACACACCCTTCTACAGCAAGCATTATTTGAGCAAAAAATAAATTTTTTTAAATTTTTATGTTCTATTATAGGTACCTACCTACAGTAAAGGGTCCATAAGAGAGATGAATTAAAAACACTTTTATGTTCAGGCGTATCGTATTTAATTTGTTAACACGAGTACAAACATCAGGTACACTACACATTTGAGATTTTTTTTAAATATGTGATTGGCTTTTGAACTGCTGTAGTGGTTAGTTTTTTTACAAGTCCTTAATTCAGTTTTAGATGGTATAAAAATTTAATTTCTTACTAAAGACAAATTTGGATTATTGATAGTCCGGATTTTGGTTTACAAAATCAATAATATATAATAATAATAATATATATATATATATATTGACGTTCTACTGCACAGCAATGAAATACTTTTTCACTCTTAAAGAATTAAAGTGTTGGGTATACTTGCACCTGACAAATGGAAGCCTTTGATTATGTGTTAGTGATTTTTGAAATTCAATGTTAATTTTTTTATGCTGATTACCTGATAAATTATTCATATCTCAAGAACTCTCCGGATAAGGGATTTAAAAAAACATGACTGAATCCTTTATTAAACAGTAAATTGACTTCCATGTTGATGTTGATTCAAGTTGATTTGTTGACCTCAAAAACAAAGATGCAGAGTTAAAAAATTTGAAATTTCTAACTCAACAGATTGCCAGCGTGGGGAGCAAGACAGATTTCTAAACTGCTTGGAATCAAGTGGGAAATGAAGGGAAACGAGAACATAGTACAAGACTCTGGTTGTGTAATTGTTATCAATCATCAGAGCGGACTGGATCTGTTGGGTGAGTGTCTAAACTATGATTTCTGTCCCTAAACTAAGGTCTCCAACAAGACCCAAGCGAGCTAGTTCAAATCCAGCACCGGTATCTGGTTCTGTTCGTGACCACTTCTCAACTTCCTTCATCTCTTACGAACATTTTCTACATCCAATCATTTTTCATCACATTGGAAGACTATTGAGGATGGACTGCATTAGGGGTTGGGGTTGATACTTATACAACACGGAAATTTTATCTTGCTTGCTTGGCTGAGACGGAAACTTTATATACAACCTTCGAGTTTTAAGATTTCTTTTTATAACTGACATCTTTATAGTGACTCTTATAAATCTTAAAACGGCTAAGTTTTTCTAGATATCAAGCTGTAAAAATATATAGTTATATAGGTTTAATTTATTAAACCTTTTGACATATCTTGTACTTTTAGCGAATTTCCCTATAGGGAAGTAGCTATTACCGTAGGTCTCATGGTAAGACTTAGGCCCGGGACCGATTTACTTTTTCATTTTAATGTCCCCAGAGGCCAAAAACACCATTCGTTCAAATTTTTATATAGATTTATATATATATATATGTGTCCGTGAACACGATAACTTGAGTAATTTTTATCCGATTTTGATGAAATTTGGTTTGAAGGTGTAAGGCGGGATAAACTTGAATGAGTTCGCGATCCAGCATGATCGGTCCATGGGAACAGGGTTTTATGGGGGGTTTTATGGGGTAAAAATTGGGTTTTCTCACTTTTTACCCTCATAACACAAAATTTCCCAATTTTTATATAAACCTTCTTAAAGAGCTTAAAAAAACAAACAATTCAGTATATCAAAGTGTTTTTGTACGGTTATTGGTTACGGAGAAAACTAAAAAAATTTTAAATTTAAAATTCCCATGTTATTCTTATGGAGAATATTGTAAAATGTTGTAGTTTGCTTGTTTATGGATATATTTTGATCAAACTTGGCAAATTTATTTATTTTATAGTAAGCTATCAATATTTTACTAAAAACACACTACTTTATTAGTTTCCTTGTAGCAGCAAACCTAGGTACTCGTTAAACCTAATGTTATTTAAATAGATCAATTGAAAATCAATTCGGCCAAATGGAAATTCGCTTAGACGGCAGGTTTGCTGCGGCGGGGGTATTTAAATTTTTGTTTAGCCTATCTTCTAAAAACACCAAATCAGATTACGATCCAATTTCGTCTCATGCATAGCAGTGAGTAATCTGACAAGTACAAGCTATTTCACTACAGTATCATATGTTATATTCATGTGATTAAACAAAGGGATGGCTCAAAGGGAAAGTTGTTGATATTGATAAAACAGAATCTTACTAATATTATAAATCTGAAAGTTTGTGAGTTTGTGTGTATGTTTGTGTGTATGTTTGTGTGTGTGTTTGTTGCTCAATCACACATAAACTACTGGACGGATTGGGCTGAAATTTGGCATGATGATAGCTCACATTCCCGATTAACATTAAAGCATATTCTTATCTCAAAAACCCTTTCGGGCTCCGCCCCAGTGGCTCTGTAGTTCCCCATGTTAATCTTATGATTTTTCATATTTAAAAGGAATTAATGAATCTTAACAGCTGTTTCAATTAAATAAGTTGGTTCTGTTCTATGATGTGCAATAGCATAAAAGTTACAAGGATTACCAAGAGGGTGCAGCACTATTAATTTTTTTTTTAATTTATGACAACAGCTAATTTCCAACCAAAAGGTGAGTGAGCGTAGCGAACGAACTTCAACCTGGAGGCGAGTTAGCGTAGCGAACGAGCTAACCTGAAGGCAAGTGAGCGCAGCGAACGAGCTCCAACCTAAAGGTGAGTGAGCGTAGCGAACGAACATCAACCAGGACGTGAATGAGCCATGCGAATACTTATGAAGTTAAACGGGGCGAAGCCCGCGGGTACAGCTAGTGATTTTATGTTTTATTCAAGTCATATAAAGTTTTAATTTGATCCTTTTCCAGTGTTGGCAGAACTATGGCCAGTGGTGGGGAGGTGTACGGTGATATCTAAGAAAGAGTTGTTCTACCTTTGGCCATTTGGCTTGGCTGCATGGCTCTGGGGAACGATCTTCATCGACCGGTTGAACAACGAGCAAGCACAAGCTACAATAAACCAGACAGGCGAACACGTACGGTCCAAACAGGTGGAAATACAGTGTCAATATTCTAATTTCCATAGAGGTTTTAAAGGGGGGTTTTTAACTTGTTAGGTGCAGAGTAAGGGGTATACAAATTTCTCTTTATAGCCTATCTTGTTGTTTATAGATCCACACATGTATCTGTAAATTAGCACAAGTGTTCTTCACTACAACTTTTTTTAAGGACGTTACAAAAGAAGAATATCCGCGGAAACTGGGGTCTCTATCTCAACCCAGTACAGAGTAGTGGTCATTCAAAAATGCATCAAAAATAATTTATGTGTTTTCTATCAAGTCGATGAAGATTTTAAATGACCAGCACCATTTTCTACCTGGTTGAGATGGAAACCTCTAGTTTTCGCTAATATTTATTTCAAATAATGGCCTATAAAATTAAGTGTTAATGTGGGCAATATATAGGTGTGCAGTAATTACTTTTCCTGGTGTAACCTATTGAAAAGTAAAGAGGGGGTATCCTTTAGGCCTGAGCAGGGGTGCCCAGAGGGGGCAGGCTGTGGCGCGTTTGCGCCACATGAATTTTTGGGGGGGACTTTTTTTGGGGGCTTTTGGGGGGGGGGCATTTTTTTGCTAGCTATCATAATGAATGTATAATTTTGTATAAGCAGCCTGAAAAGTGTTTCTAAGTAGTTCACTATCAACACCAACAACATTTTGCCATTCGTAAGATTGCTTCTAAGAATTGTAAAAACAAAAACACACCTTGTCAGGCAATCCTTAATATTTTAGTGTCGAATTTTACTTGATACATATGTTTTGGTGGTTCTTAAACTCATCCATTATCGTCAGGCTTACATAAAGATCCACTTCTGGAGGTGTCGTAAGAATACGTTACAAACATTTAATACAAAACACGAAACGATTACAGATATGCAGGGCCGGTTTAACCCATACGCGAACTACGCGGCCGCATATGGCGCCACGATAAAGTGGCGCCATGGCACAAACGGAACATTTTTTTTTACGTGAACAACGTAATTTTGTTTATTTTTGCTCAGAGTTCAAGTATTCAAAGCACCACACAATAAAGGCCTTTATTGTGTTTGTACCAACAGCACTTGAGAAATTAGTATATTTGTACAGCACTACAAATCAAGGACTCAATGCCATTTGCAGCTTCGATTTGATAGAAGTGAGCTGACGCTCTGCAGTCGGCAGCGTCAGCGCCAGCGCGGCACCTGTGGGTTTCATTTCACAACTCACTCATGCTCGAGATAAGCAAGCGCGCAGCGCCACTTGTCACAACAAGAAACTTCCCCTTTCTTTCACTCCTTTCTGCCTCTGATCCTAGAGCAGAGCATTACGTTGTATTGCACTCTTTTGTAGGCCTATACCGTATCGGTATCGTATTGGCATTGTTTTGATGATTCATGATTGTTGATAAGCGAATTATTACGAGTGTTTTAAGTTTAATTTATAATTAGCGCATTAAATAAGAAGAAAGTATAAACCGAATGAATGAGTAAAGCATCTTGCGAGCCGATACTATGAAAACATTGGCAAAAAAAAAAAGAAACCGTCTGGCACTTTTATTATAGAAAGCGTAAGGCGAATTTTGAAGAGGTAGAAAAAAGCCAAATCAATGAGTAGATTTTTGTAGAAATCATCTGGTGGCGAGTCCAGTCAGCCCAAAGAAGTCACGATAGAAGACGGCAATGACGTAGGTATTTATTTATTTATTTTCCAAGGAAAGACAAGCAGCTGATCACAAACGGCAAACATTACGTCATTGTCGTCTTCTATCGTGACGTCATGCTTGACGAGCATTACGGCCTGTTTTTTTTAGTGTGTCCTTGGTTTTGCTATAGTTTATATGATGAGTAAAAGTGTATAAATGTCACATTTCTGCGAATAATAAACAGTCTTTTATTGCAAGTTAGTATTCTTCTTAAAGTTCTTCCCAAAGTTATTGGGAAAAAATTCACAAATACGGTTAAGTTATGTTTATGGGTTTAAGGGGGGGGGGGAATTCTAAGTGGCGCTGATTCGGGTGTTCGCTTAAATTCCTAGAACCGGCCCTGCAGATATGCCTATCAATTCACGCGAGTACATTGCCGTCGGCAGGACGGGAAGTAAAAGTAAACTGAATCAGGTTCAGGTTATGACGGAAAAGGACTGACGTGGTCTCTAGCTAGATTGTCGTCTGCGTTTTCAACAGCTGATATAGCACTATTGTAATGACTGAGAAGAGTGTTGAAAATATAATGGAATTCATAGTTAATCGAGTGTTTTCACTCAAAAACTGTGTGCTGTCCCTAGATTTATGTATTTATAAATTTCAAACTCTTCAAAAGTATTTAATACATTTCCTTTCGCGCAGTACTGTATAATTTCGAGACCATCATTTATATCCAGCATATAAATTGGTTATTATTGTCAATAATTTTGAATGGAAAACTCGATTATGGATCCCATTACATTTTCAACACTCTCCTCCGTCACTACAATTAGTCCAATATCAGCTTTTGATAGATAACACAGACGACAATCCAGAGACCACGTCTTTCCGTCATAACCTGATTCACCCTGCCCTCGGCAATATACACGCGTGAATTGATAGGCCTATCTGTTATCGTTTCGTGTTTCGTGTTTAATGTTTGTAACATATTCTGACGACACCTCCAGAAGTGGATCCTTTTGTAAGCCTCCGATGGTGGAGTTAAAGAACCGCCAGAACATATGTAGCAAGTAAAATTCGACTCTACCTTACATATATTATTAAGGATTGTCTGACAAGATGCGTTTCTACCATTATTAGTCATAAAAGGCAATCCTGGGGCTATCAAAATGAATTTATTATAAGATTACTTCATCACAAAAACCTTTTATGCTAGTGGCAATTAAGGAATTCTAGGTATTTTGTCCGGCGATTTTTGTAGAAGGAAGCCTAAGAGTGGCGAGCAACAAGTCTGTCCTATTTCGTGACTCTGCCTATAATTTTGAAATAAGTTAGCCTACTTTTTGCCAAAGTATTATTAATGCACTAAAAGCTGTTTGAATTCTTAAGCCCCGTAAAATTAACGCCACCTAATATATTGTACAGTTACAGTACTGTGTTGGAGTAGAGTAATTCACCGAGTATATTGTTGTACGTTTTTAAGACATTTTCTATTGCAATACTGAGTAACTGTTGGCTGATAATACAGATTCTGAATTTTAAATTGAAAAACTTCTAATTCGTCCATTAGTTAGATATAATGATATATTGTTAAATGACGTTTACTATTAAACATTTAATTTTGATTATCAGCAAGTTTGTTTTTCTTTACCTCAACTTTTACTAAATACTTTAAATGCTCGTTTTATGAGGTAAAGGGGAAATTTACAGATAAATTGGCGGGGGAGGGTAGGTTTAAATATACGGCAGTATAAATGGGGGGGGCTACTCCTTTGGCTTGGGGGGGATTGCGCCTCTGGGTTTGGGGGGGATGGGCACCTCTGGGCCTGAGAATACTTTTTCTTAACCCTGTATACAATGAGTGCTGCCTTGCTGCTGTTTCTAGAGGATTAGCTGGTTTAAAAACATTTATGGGGCAGGGGTGTTTGATAGCTTGGATTCAGCTCTACAGTAGAGATTTTTTTATATGTATACAAGTATGTTTATATTTCTTTCAAATAATCAGTTTGTTATCATTTGAACTACTACACCGTAGCTGTAACTTTAGTATTAAGTTTTTTCTTTTTCAAGTGTATTATATGGCGACCAACTAACAGCCATGAGACATACCTATGCAATATGCTCAGTTATATTTAAAGAAATCCTCATAATGTAAATATTTTCTTCTGTTTCAGTTAAAACTGTGCATGTTTCCAGAAGGTACAAGACATCTTGGAGATGAACTCCTGCCTTTCAAAAAGGGTGCCTTTCATGTAGCTATTGCCTCGCAGACTCCAGTTCAACCTGTAGTTGTATCAAAGTACCACTTCCTTGATTCAGAAAAACATATATTTAACACAGGTAGGCCTAACGTATCTGTTAAAGATGGCATATTCAACAGAAGCCAATAGCCTCATTTACATTAGAGCATTGTCAGTGGCTCGATTCAACTACATAGATTTTGATTCAGAAACTGATAGTCAGTTACACCCTATTCCATATGTTCTATCTAGTGCAAGGAAATCTTTAAGATTTGCAGTCATACAATAATAAATGAAAATTTGTTAGGTACGTGCAAATTCTATTCAATTGGGTATGGTATGATATTTAAATAATTCAAAGAAATTTTGTCTTTGTAACATGCACATTTCATTCTTGAACATTGAATATTTTAATCCTTCAATATTTTTAGAGCTGAAATGTTTCCTTTCACAAAATTTATTTTTAAGTCGTCCCACATTCATTGGAGCTTAAACAAGAATTTAACTTAAATCAAAATTCTGCTTGTATGGTAACAGTAATCACCAGTGGAGGTAAATGAATCAGAGGGTACTGGCTCTCGACCATTTGGTGAATCTTATTCCTTGCAATGGTAGCAAAATCAACATTCCTGAGATTATATTGCTGCCACTGTTTTATACACTTTACCAAATTTAATTTTGTGCTCCTAAATATATACTATTGTCAAGATTAACTTTCACTATTTTTTATCTTTGAACACTCAAATGGCAACCGGAATGTCAATATTTCTGATAGAAGACGGCAACAATCAATCACTAAATGTTTAATGTTAACCTTTACTGTATGGTAATGGTTCAGTCAAGGTTGTATTAATCCATTACCAATCAATGATGCCTAAAACCAATGTCTACACTTAAAAGTGCCTTCCCGGAACGAGTCTATCCTAAAGCTAGATAATGCAATTATTATCTAAAAGTTGTCATACTGCTTCCATTTTTGGAAACGTTAGGAATGTTTAGGGGTAGAATATATGTGAATTAATTTAATGGTATAATCTGATGGTTGAAAGTCAAACAGGATAAAAATTTAAAAAAATAAAACTGTAGGGAGAGAGCATTTATTGAATATTAGGTTACGGTATTGAGGGGAGCGTATGGTTTACCCTCTTGTCCTTATTAAAATCCATATCGTTACTTTAATGCCAGTTCAGATCCTTTTGCTAATTGTGAAGTCATTAGTCAAATTAACCTTTAAACTCTACTTTGCATATAACGAATCATTATGTGGAGGCGTGTTGATTCATATTTTTCAATTAAGTGATATTGAAACTAAATTGTCAACCACTTCAAGCTATGCAAATAAAGCTTTACGCTAGCATATATTTGTCTAAAATCATTTGTTTGTTTCCAGGACGTTGTGTTATCAAAATTCTACCTCCTATACCAACAGAAGGTTTGACAAAGGTTGATATTGACTCTCTGGTGTCGAAAACTCGGGCGTTGATGTCAGAAGAGTTCAAGAAACTCTCTGCCGAAGTTCTGACAGAAGAGCGTAAATGATGGACATTCAGACTTAAGTTTATAGATAAAAACTTATCTTCATCATGACTTATGATTGAAAGCCGGGCAGTATTTAATGCTAAATGGAAATTTAATTTCCTGAGGTCGTTAATTGATTTTAATTGTATTTTAAGACATTAAAATAGTTAAACTTAAAAGTTTGCTGCATTTGGTCACAGAGAATGTGCAATGAAGGGAAATTCTCCTTTTATGAAAATGGCCCATGTAGCACAGATGGTTGGGCCAACGTTGGTAAATTGTGGAGCCACACAGTTGGCCAACGGTAGAAATGTCACCTCTTTAAACTGTTTTCCAGCCAACCTTTGTCCAACAATGGCCCAACCAAAATTATTTCACACAAAATAATAAAGATTTAGTACGAAAAGCATAATTTTTAGTTGAGTAAATTGATTAAATAGTTCATAAAAACAAATTTTGAAAAAAAGCTGGAACAAAATTTTATGGCCCAGACGGGTCTCGAACCCGGGTCCTTCGACTTATAAGCCTTTTACCTTACCACTGAGCTATCTGTGATTGTTGATATAGAGAGTTTTCAAGTGGTGAAAGAGTAGCCGACAGTTGCAATGGTCGCAATACATCAAACATTTTTGATACTACACAGTATAATATGATTCTGTTAATCTGTTAAGGCATCATAAGTAGTTATTTTTTTTGGAGTTAGAGAGGATACTGGTATTTGAATATAGATTAATTAATTACCGTTAGATTATTAATGCTATTATAATTGACTGTTATATGATTAATTACTCTTTCCCCTTAAATTGTTGCAAATAAGTTAAAGAATATTAATTTAAAAAATATTTGCATTATTATAATTATTAAAATTCATCGTTGTAGCCCCGGAACTGTAATATATAAAATATCTGGTTTTACAATACCTTTATCAGTTCCAAAAACTTTTGGAAACTTTTGGAACTGATAAAGGTATTGTAAAACCAGATATTTTATTATAATTATGTTGTGAAAGCTAGACCCAGAGAATGAACGTCGTGTAAACTCAACTATGGACCATCGTTGGTCCAACAAAAGTATCTTTTGTTGGTCCAACGGAGTGAAAAACGGTTGGACAACGGTTGGCTTGATTTATGATACCCAACAATGCATATTAATGTATTTCATTAACAATGAACCGATGTTGGTCCACAGTTGTAAATATTGGTTGGCCCAACTACGAGATATACAGTTGGACAACGGTTGGTTGGTTGTGGAAGCTCCAACCAACCATCGACCAACTGTCCCACAGTTGGCCAACGTTGGCCCAACCATCTGTGCTACATGGGGGATGTAAGGTGTGAACCTCTAACTGTGATAACAGTCAACACTCAAATTTTTCCTCTCGCAAAAGAGTATGTGATTTGCCTGGAAATCTTGAAAATTAATCCTCTGATCACCTGTAAAAAAACGATATCTGCTGAGAAAAAACGTCTAATTTTCTAACTTTTTATTGAATAAAAGTATGATTATTGCTTTAAACTCCACATAACCTCACCCACTAACTGCTAGTTTTTTCTACATAAAATAAGCCACCATTTTAATCACTCCTTCTTAATTAAACTGTAGGATAACAAATGTATTATTATTAACCCATAAACATGATGAGCCATACAGCAAAAGCTATTTAATTGGCATTGCAAGACCTACCAACCCCACATGTGGCATTCATCGAGCGCCTAGCAGCTACTTGCCAAATCATGACCAATAAGAATGGGTGTTCGCTTACTCGTCATTTGGACAATGTTAGATCTAATCGTCGCTTGCTCCGTTTCGATCTTTTCCACACACCACAGCAACCAATAGACTGCTCAGAAAGTGCAAATGTGTGGGCACCTCTGCTCGGAAATCGGTGTGAGTACAATAGTTTGCTACTTGTCAAATATTCGGCGCACTTGAATGTCTAATGTGCTAAACTCTAGATTGAAGTATATTAAGAACAGCTGATTATCTCTGGAATACTCTTGTTTGTCTAGTAAATAAATTTTGAGATTTTTATTCTGAGAGCCCCATGATTTCAGATACCTAGTAATTTTGTCAAAATGTATAGAATTTAATTTCTAGTCTTGTAAATAAATAGGTTAATCTCAGTGGACAGCGATTTTACCTGTACAAACTATAAGTAGCCTAATATGAGTTACATATAAGTTAATAGGATTTGTTGATAATTAATATATTTGTATGTTGTGATACTTTTTTACCAAGTACGTGACTTAACAGAATAGCTTTGATTATTTAAGGTGTGTGTTCATTGTAAGAGAATGAATCCAGAGGTTTTCTCAATCTATGTTATCAACTTTGTACTGTTTAGATAATTATATATTTGTGAAAAGTAAGTTGTTTAATCCTTTACCCCCTGACTTTTTTACCTTTGTTATATTAACTACTTACGTGGTTTACTTACCCATTTTCATTTTTTAAATGTAAACTTAATAAATTTGTTCCCTAAATGTCTTACCTTGCAATCCTAATTGGTGAAAATGTGATGTTATACTAAGCAAACTACACAACACAAACATACATACAACCTTTTTGGCCGTATACACTGGCCATCACAGTACCAAAAAGTATTGCTTTTCCAAGACAGACAGTTTTTGGTAGGAAAGCTGAACAGATATAAAAAGACAGTTTGAATTTGAGCTTGGGACAGAGATGTCAGAAAAGAAAACAATCAACACATATATTAGTTTGGCGTGTTTTGCAGATCACCTAGTTCACCTGTCTGTTTGATGGGATGATGCATATCTAAAATTAAAGATTATGGCTCAAGTGAAATTAAGCAGGCTGGGTGGACTCTTTGGGAATTGCTCATCTGTTCAGGCATTTTCATCCTTTTATCTACCCTTACTTTGAGTGTGTGTCCAATAAAAAAATGTATAATGAGAACATATGGCTATATATGGATATATAAGGATATTTTGTGTTTTATAATGGGGATAGTATAACATTATGCATGGTTAAATCATTAAGTAGTCCCTGGAGCCAAAAGGATTTCTAAGGTTTCAATTAATATTGCAAGCTCCAAGCGGGGATTTGTAACTTGCTAGCTACATATACGAGAGATACTGCTTTCATAACAGTTAATTAGAGGCAATTGTTCTTTTCACACTAACAATGAACCCCAGTTTGACACAGGACAAGGTTGTCAGTGATTTGATAGTCTAAACAGGACTTTCCTTGTTTCCGAATGAATAATTTAAAGTTAGTCTTTTATGCTAGAATGGTTTTAAAAATGTTATTAAACCTCCATGTGTCAGTACCTTATCATTTGTATAGTAGGGGCTGTTTTGGTTTGTAAACCTAAAGATTAAACTACTGGATACTCAAACTAATATGTTCTTGGACTGTGGATCCATAAAAATAAAGTAAACACAATATGTTTAAGCATTTTCAACTTGCGGTAATCTCTATTGGCTAGCATCTTGATGTGCGAACAATGCCTGGTACATCCACAAAAATTTGACAGGTTTTATTTCCTTCCCAGGTTTTTCTGGACGCGGAAGAGGAGTGCGAAGGGCGGAAAACACGCTCCGCTTTTAAGAAAAAAGTAACATTTAATTACCAAAGACAAGAGGACTCCGCTCTCCGTGTTTCTCTCTCCGCGCCCCGCTTCTGGCCTAGGAAAACCCAGCTTTAAAACTCCTTTATGGAATGCCACAAATATTGAAAACAAACAATAGTTGTTTGTGTAACTAGTGGGCGAACGAGAGAAATGTTTAGAAATGGAAAGTTTCTCGAGTGCATCAAAGTCAGTTTTCACTTGTGTTATACACTATATTTTTCCTACAGTTACTATAAATCATATAAATAATTTGTCTTTCTAACACTGTGCAACACGTTTTTAGTTTAGGTTAAATCCAAACATTGAACGTTGAACGAAATGGGAAACGCTGCACCAGCTGATCGTAGTCGTAATAGTGTTGCCAACCTATTCCCAAGCGTACACGGATAACGTGCATAGTAAAAGCACGCTATGTTTTGTGTTGTTTGGTTAGAATACTGGTGTGCGACAAAGTAAAAAGTGTGCGTCAAAGTAACTAAATGCAGCAATTAGCAGCTTTCTGTACAATAATCAGTGCAAGGAAGTCCACATTGTCGGGTGACTGTAGGAAAACACATAATGGTATGTTTTTTATAAAATTTGTAATATGAAAAAAGTTATGAAATAAAGTAAAACTGATATATATTTATTAGGTAATATTTATTGCATTATTAGGGTCTATAACCAATTTTAAATCATTAAAATAAGGAGGTTTATAAACTTTTTGTCTTTGTTTCAAGATGCTCATTTGTACCTCACTATTCTTTGGTATTTCTTGAACAGCATTTTCATTACTTTCTATTTCAAAGTTCATACTACCTACATTACTTTCTCTGCTGGATTGAGATTTTTTACAGCATTTATCGGAGTTGCCTTCTTTATTAGTTTCCTCTTCTGTGTGTTCTGAATGTCGCTGGTTCAAATCTAGTTTGTTAATATTTTCTGCACCAGGGACTTCTATTTCATATCCCCCCGGTTTAATCAGTCCTTTTGAATATGTTCTTGAAAAAGGATTTTTAATTTTCAAAACAGGAGCAGTGGTAGGAATTTCAGAATCATCTAATAATACATCATTCTCTTTTGCATTGTACCTACTGGGGTTTTTTGTGTTTCTCAAAATCTGTATGACGATTTCCCTCTGCCCTGATGGAGTATGATTCTCATTACATTTTTCTATCTTCATAATGTGTTTATGAAATCCGCTCAGGTTTTCCTGTTCATTGATTTCTGAAGAATGTTCCTTGATCATAGACTTATAGCGATCATCAAGTGTTGGGTTTACATTTTCAGAATCCTTCATTTTTCTCTCTGAAGATGTTTTAGTTTCATCTTTCCTAATTAAATCATTATTTAAGAAAGAACTTGAGGGTCCATAAACATAGTTTATTACTGGTGCTACTCGGTTAATTTGTATCTCGTCATCATTGAGAAATTCTTTCATATTTGGCTTTCTTGTTATCCATTTTGTGGTTTGGGCAGATCCATCCTCAACTCCGCCGTTCCAAAGAGTAATGCAAGAATCTTTGTTTGAAAAGTCATTTTCATTTTGAGGCATTGTTGACTTTTCTTCTTTGCTCATAAATGTTGTCAAGGAGTTACTACTGGGCAGAGGTTTCCTGGTTGTTAAATTGGTTTTTAGGTGGGATATAGTTGAGGGCTTAACCCCCTCATTTTTAAATTTTGTAATAGGTGAACTGTTTAGAACTAAATCATCTCCAAATCCATAGCTACCAGGTCTTTTTGTTGATGGTGTAGTGTATGGTTTGGAAGCAGTATGATGATTAATAGAGCTTTTCAATACAGTTTCCATTTCTTTCAGTACAACTTCAGATTGTTTTGGAGCAGTTGTGCTGGTGAGTAAAGAGCTCTTCTTGGTGTAATTTTTATCTTTAACTTTGCTTACAATATCAGGCTGAGGTGTAATTGTTTGATCCACTAATAAATGTGAGCTGCTGCTGTGACTTCTACCATCACTTTCGTTTGATGTACTCGTCACATGCATGACAGCTTTAGGCTTTGTGGTAGACTGATTTCCTGGAAACTCCTGATATTCATCACCATCAGCATCTAACTCCTCATTTTGAGTATTATTACTTGATGTAGATTCACAGACTTTCTTAAACTTTTCCGATCTATAAGAAGGCATTTGGTTGACAATCAAATTACTTCCAGCTACTCGCACCTGGGCAGAATAAACCCCCTGCTCATTATTCAGCGGTTTCAAGCTTATCATAGGAATTTTATTTCTTATTTTATCATTTACTTGGTAAATCTTCGGTGGCATGTCTCCAAACAGATCTTTTTTTAGCAATACATCTGAAGCATGGAATTTGGCTAATTTTTCATCATGTCTTGTCAACAATTCATCATTTTGATGGTCATTTGAAGAAGAGTTAACGAAGATCGGGATATTCTTGCCATTTGGTATTTCTCTATTATTTGTCAAGAACATTGCGGATTCTAAGAGAGGGAGAACAGCTGTTTCTGTTCCCCCTTCCTCCTGGTCCGACAGTGTATTTGGATCTTTGGTGGTTAAGATTGATAACTGTTTTGATTTTAAATACGACACACAGTCAATCTTTGGTGTCAGGGTAATTTTCATCAACGATTCCTGCATCACAGCTTGTGTTATACTAGTTTCATTACCTACATTTGTAGGTACTGTTTCTTCCACTTTTTCTTGTAAAGGTTCTGTAGTTTCTGTAACATTTTGTGGATCACATATATAAATAATTGAAGTTTTACATATAGGTGAAGCTGACAGCATCTCTTTAGACATTGGTGAAATAGTTGTAATTTGGGATTCATTTCCAGTAGTTACTATATTTTTAATAACATCTGCAGAAACATTCATTGTAAAACCAGTGTTATAAGTACCAAGAGTGGTCTGAGGTACTGTTCCGTTTGTATTCAAAACATAGGGGTCTGTATTTTCAGCATCATTTAAAGGAGTAGTATTTTTTGTTGGTTCTTTACTTTTAATTGAAACAGTGTCGTCCGTTTTACTGTACGAAACATTTCCTTTAATTTCTTTGCCACTTAGTGAGTCAAATGACGTGTTTTGGCTGTTAGTAACACAATCATCTGTATTTATCTTCCTATCGATTAGTAGTGTTGTAATTGCATGCTCATTTCCTAAATTTCCACTTCCATCTGATTGTGTTTCGTCATTCAAATTTGAATTCAAGAAATGTATTAGTTGCTTTTTTAAAACAGCTTCATCGGAGGAAAGACCAGGAAAATCCTCCTTTTGTACTTTTCCTTTGCTGTCAAATTCTCCCTCTTCTGAAGCAACCAGTTCTGCTTGGTTATTAGACAAAAGATCGGATCTTGAGTTGCTCTCCTCTTTTAAGTGTTCTTGTTTTATTTTATTAATCATATCAACCACTTCATTAAAACGATTGTCAAAAGATTTCATATTTGTGTTTGTATTGTTAGAAACTTCTCCCGACTGATGAATTGTCATTCTATCAATTGGTTCTGTTTTGTTATTTGAAAATGGAAATACTTTAGATTCGCTCTTGTAAAAAATGTTTGATGCAGCATTTTTATTGCTGACTGTAAAATGATTAGTTGAAACACTATTATTACCCGTTATACCTGACCCAATCTCCTTTGGCACTTCTACAGGGGTTGCTTCAGAGACTCCCAAGACTTTGAGAACTGCTGGAATACTTTCACGAATTGAATTAGTTGTAGGTTCACCATTAACAGCTCTTAAAAATTTAAAAACGTCATTTATTTCACTTGGGTTTGTATTGCTCTGTTTATTTGCTTGCTTAAAATGCTTTTTATCTGGTTCATAAAAGTTAGCATGGTTTGCACCCTTGCCAATAAGTTCTGCATGTTGTTCCTCTTCATTAGCAGAGCTCCGATATCTCAATAAATTTCCATGGGTTTGGGTGTCAGCTTTAAGGTTCATATTATCTTTTGCGGGACTGTTGATTTGATCTGACTGAGAATTTTGGAGTTGTATAAGGTTTAAGGAATCTTTCAGTAACCTCAATTCAGTGTAATGTTTCGGGTCCTTAAGAAAGAGTTCATTTTTAGAGTAGTTCTGATTTGGGCATTCTTCCATAGTGTTCGGTATATAGCTTTTACTTAGCCCTGACATAGATGTGTTTTGGTTTTGATATGCCTTAGTAGTATGGTTTACAGAATCTAGCCCGAAAACATCTTTTTGATCACTGCGAGTGAATGGGGTGGTTTTTAATGACATACTTCGATCAATACATTCTGTATATTTTATTGATATTCCATCCTTATTTGCTGTCAGATTTGGGGAGGTTGCTTGTTTATGTTGTACATTATAATCCGTAAAGTTTACCCAAGAACTATTTTCACTGTGTAACTCATGGTGATTCCATTTTTCATTCAAGTTTTTGGAAATTGCTCCATTTCCATGATTTTCATCGCTCTTTGACTCATTTAGTGTATTATTTTGACATTCGTTAATAACCAAGTTCAACAGTTGAGTATCCTGGGATAGTATCTGATAGTCAGATTTTACAGCTATCAACATGTCCGTGTCGTTACAAGAGTTGTTTTGTGGTATCATTATTATTGTGAGATTTCCTTTTCCATTACCTTTTGGTTCCGTCCATTTAACACCTGAAAATAAAGTTAATTATCGAATGGCTTTGATGTGTTTAATGCATTAAATAAGTTTTGAAGTCACTATAAACTATTTGAAATATTACCTACTTTTTTACTGGTAAACTCACTAACTCAGAACTATATTGATTTATCTATTCTATTGCTTTATGAGAGATCTCCAATCCAAGGACAGTGTTGTCCTCACCACAGGCCTCAAACATTTTAAACTTAATGGAGGGTACATAGGGCTCTAAACAACCAAATGTATGGATTATGGTTCCATTGAATATTGTTGGCATTTGAACTTTGATCGTTTAGGTGAGAAGTCCCACACTGTAACAACAACTGTGGCCAACTATGTTTAAAAAATAAAAATTGTCCTAAAAAACCAACAACATGGTTTGAATCTAAAATGTTACCTCCTTCGTAAAAATCAGTTTGTTTTAGCACGGGTAACACCATGGAATGTTAGAGAGAAAAGTAGAAAACACTTATTGTGTATGTATCGTTAGATTTGCTTTTAATTGTAGTATTTTTAGAGTTTTTATGCCTATCAAACCATTATTTGTTAGTTACTCTTTTTTTGTTTCCTTTGTTCTTGAGTTGAAGGTTTGTATTTACGCTGTGTACATTTTGCCAGATTGTGAGGCATCTTCAGAGGTCTTCTATCTTTGCATCAGTGACACTAACACAACACTAAACATTGTCAATAATTGTCTAGTTACACAAACAATTTACACTCGTCCAATTATATTTTTGTATGAGTTTTTTTTTTTTTTTTATTGGTGAGCTGGTGCAAGATTAATTGGCCATGCAATTGCATGTATCATGTCTAGAGGGTGAGTACCAGGATGCAAAAAGCTGTGTGGTAGCTAGCCCCCCTGCTGAGATATTGTCTGCACAAAATATTGAGAGTCTGGGGGGTGAAGAATGTTAAAAAGGGTTCAAAAATGAGTCTGGTGGCCCTCTACCATAACATTTTAAAATTAAATCATTTTAGAATGCTAGGCACAAGCCCGGGATTATTTTTCACATTAGGCTAGACCTAGGGGTTCGGCATTATCACTTAGATAAAATCCAATGGTGACTTGGCAGGATTTGAACCCGAGACCTCAGGGACTGAAGTCACATGCTCTAACCACTACACCAGCTCGCTCCCCTAACATATTGCAGTATGTGTAGATATTCCCTGCAATGCACACGAGCTGAGAAAAAATGTTTTTTTTTTTAGATTTTTGCTTGCCTATTAATATGTAGGATAAATAACATGGATGGTTGGATACAAAGTAACAGAACATTAGTAGGTGCTCATTGAGCCTCCATCAGAAGTGACTTCATATTATATATCCAAAAATGAATAATTAGGTACAGTACCTGATGCCTTTATAATAGGAGCGTTCCAAACTTGATGTGAATCACACAGCCACAGATATATTACAAGAAATTTAAACATTTTTAGAAAGAAAAGTACAGTTATAAACAATAAACTACACGAAAACAAACCTGACATAACAGGTTATGTATTTAAGTTTAGTTATTTATTTACAATATTCATATGTTCAAAATATTTATGTTAAAATCAACTTTCCAGTTATGGAATCCGGGATCTTAGATCTATCACCATGATGTAACTTGTGTTTCAAATACCCCCGTCGCAGCAAACCTGCAGACTTAGCGAATTTCCATCTGCCTGATTGGATTTAAACTAAAATGTCCCCTAAAAATATCACATTTATTCCCTATTTAAACAGAATAAGTTTAATGAGTACTTAGGTTTGCTGCAACAGGGAGGGTAAAAAAGTTTTTTTAATGTAAAATATTAAAAGGTACTGTGGTTTAGTAAGAAATTAATGTATTTTCCAAATTTGATCAAAATATGTTCATAAACAAGCAAACTACAAACAGTTGACTTATTCTCCATAAGAATAACATGGGAATTTTAAAATTACAATTTTTTTTGAATTTTCTCCGTAACAATTAGGCGCATAATAACACTTCAATATACTAAATTATTTGTTTTTTTAAGCTCTACAAAATGGTTTAAAAATAAATTGTGAAATTTTGTGTTTTTAGGGTCAAAAATGGGAAAAACCTATTTTTACCCCATAAAACCCCCCATAAACCCCCGTTCCCATAGTCCGATCATGCTGGTTCGCGAACTCATTCAAGTTTATCCCGCCTTACACCTTTAAACCAAATTTTATCAAAATCGGACAAAAATTACTCAAGTTATCGTGCGGATGGACACATATATATATATATATATATAGATATATACAAATTTGAACGAATGGTGTTTTTGGCCTCTGGGGACATCAAAATGAAAAAGTAAATCGGTCCCGGGCTTAGGTTTTACCATGAGACCTACGGTAATAGCTACTTCCCTATAGGGAAATTCGCTAAAAAATGACAAATACAATCAATAAAATTAATTAAAATAAATTAATTAAATTAAGTTAATTTTGATATAACTTTTCCTTTAGAGAAATAATCCAAACTAAAGGGTATATTTGTGTTGTATCTATCTAAAATATAGGCAATAGTTAAGCCCCCCACACACTACCAGACCAGAGACCTTCCGGTCTCCGGTCTGGTGTCTGGCACTTGTCATATCGTGTGTGGGGCTGTCTGCAGGCCGATTTTGTCGGACCAGACTGTCCGCGTGTCTGATGGCACAGAAAACATACTGATGGTTGAACCCTCCGACCAGAGACGCCTGAGGTTCGACCGTCGCGACAGTCTTCGTCATCCATCATCTGTACATCTGTTGCAGTGAGTGAGTGTTGCTGTTCTAGCGCAACGTCGTGATGTCCGCACAACAATACCAACCGAACAATGAAGCTGAAAAGTAGGTTTTAGTGGAGTTTATTGATCATTGAGAACTTTTGAAGCTTATCGATAATTTTATTTCGATCATTTAGCCACTGCTTAGCCCATATTTTCCGTTTCTGCCGGCGTTCTTCCTCAAGTTATCAACACACAACTAAAAGCGAAACCTATTTTCTTATTCCTAGACACCACTGGTGCCGTGGTGCCATGACGTACAGGTGTTCTCATCACGGTTTCTCAACTACGAATGTTTGGTCTAGTCTGGGGTCTGGGAGTAGGAGTGTGTAGAGCCATCCAAGAAGACATAATTTAAAGCCGTCTGTGTCAGAGCATTGATTATGTATGTAGTGAATGTTTATAGAGCAATCAACAGTCAAGATTTTCTCTACCGAGAGACATCACCATAAAACTCCCATAGGATCTCAAGGGACTTCTGGACAGTGAATGAGCATTCACCACAGTTTCTTGATGCTTTATCGAACAGTTATTGGGACTTTTTATATTTTTATAGACCATCTAATAATTTCAATACAGTATTATAAAACTTGGCACTTTAATCGGCTACCATTTCAAAACCTCACTATTGTTTCCTCTTGGCTACCAACGCCTCTAGACCTTGAGACCATGTTCCATTCAGATATATAAGGTTGAGTAGCTATCTATTAAATAACGAAATGTCGAAATGTAGTAATTAGCTTAATTAATGTTGGCAACATAGACCAGGATAAAATGATTTTAAATAAAGTAAATTAACGTAAGAGCATCCCAACATCACATTTATTGTTTACGAATTTACAAGTGACCTAACAGTCGGGATGAAGTCCCACTCATGATGGATGAAGTCACTGCTCATTTCCAATCGTCCCATTTTACTCTAGCTAGTTCAACGCCATCGCAGTACCTTACGACCATCATAATGATTATGGCTCCTTAATGCTGGCCCAGGCTAATAAAGTGTACATACTGGTCATACATAGTATATAGATGGTATATACCTTTACGAACTAACTATAATCATTGTATATTATAAAAATCACTAACCAATAAATAACACATGAAAAAATATATATCTTCATATTTCTTTATAGCATGCAGAAATTATTAAGTATTAATAAAAAATAAAAAAACGTTTAATAAAACACAATATATAAAACTATTCAAACTAAATAATAAAGTAGAGAACAAACAACGACAACAATTTGAGAACACTAAATTTGCTCGAATCAACGCCGTTGCAAAGATTAGTGTCGCAAAGACAAACACGGTAGTCGTCGCCCATGAAGAAGCAGCCTATGTGAGCCTCTTTACCGTCCTTGTAGTTAGGCCCGCTACATCCACGGATCGTCGACACGTTCTTCAGCCCGAGCACGAGATGGCAAAAGGACGACTTGCTCTTTGGACACTGCATGATCATGTTCCTTTTCTCCGTGACGTTGGCGTGTCGCCAGTTGCCCAGGGTACACACAGACTTGGTGACGTCAGGCTCGTTGGGGTCATTACTGGAGTTGCATTGGTAACAGCGAAGAGAACCGTCGGGCGTCCTCGGCTTGTGTTCCTCTCCGAAAAACCAACCTTGAATCATCAAAAAAGAGGCAATCACGATCAAAAGGGAATAAACGAATGATGCCATTGCTGGTGGTTTTCTGATTTATTGATGTTTGCTGTTGTAAATAAATAGTTGTTTATTGTAAGTCAGATGATGGGCTGATTTTCATTTAGCTCCGTATGTAAATAAGTTACGTTCAGCTGTATTTTGAAAGGTGCTTGCAATCAGAAGTTTTGTAATCAACCTCTTGGTGGTGTTTTTAATCTTTGACTGTGAATAGAGCAAATACCCCCGCCGCAGTAATCCTGCAGACTAAGCCAATTTCCATTTGCCTGATTTGATTTTCAATTAAATCTATTTCAATATCATTAACGAGTACCTAGGTTTGCTGCTACAGGGAGGGTGACAAAGTTTGTTTTTAGTAAAACATTAATAGCTTATTATAAAATAAATAAAGTTGCCAAGTTTGATCAAAATATATTCATAAAGAAGCAAACTACAACAGTTTATTTATTCTCCATAAGAATAACATGGGAATTTTAAATTTACAACTTTTTAAATTTTCTCCATAACCAATAACTATACAAAAACACTTCAATATACTAAATTATTTGATTTTAGCGAATTTCCCATATAGGGAATAACCTATTGCCGTAGTACTTGTGGTAAGACCTGGGCCCGGGACCAATTTACTTTTTCGTTTTGAGGTCAATGGAGGCCAAAAACACCATCCGTTAAAATTCATATACAGTGTGTAAATTAAGTATGGAAACAAATCTGTATTTTTAAAACCGAAATAGATAGAAATATTCTATTTGTGGCAATAATAGTTAACAAAGATTCCGCAATTTTTCACATGAAAAATATTTTTTTACCCCCCTAACAGGGTAGGTGGTAGGGGGTGACTTATTTTTTTCAAATAGCAACCCCTATTGAGTGACCCCTCATTTTGAAGGGTTTGTCAAAAGAAACACAATGACGCAAATCCGAGGTGAATATCTCACTCCTAGCTAACATGGCGGATATTCCAAAATGGGCTTTTTTTTACAAAAATTAAATTTTTCATTACCCACCATTTAGGCTAGGGGTGAAATATCTACCTCGGGTTTGCGTCATTCTTTTTCTTTTAACAAACCCTTCAAAATGAGGGGTCACTCAATAGGGGTTGTTGTTGAAAAAAATAAGTCACTCCCACCCCCTACCCTGTTAAAGGGGTTGAAAAAATATTGTTGATTAAAAAAATTGCGGAACCTATGTCAACAATCAATTCCACAAACAGAATATTTCTATCTATTTCGGTTTTAAAAATACAGATTTCTTTCCATTATTTGTGAAATTGGTGCTTTTCACGTACAATAAATCAAATTTTGGAATATCCGCCATTTGGGCTAGGAGTGAGATATTCACCTCGGATTTGCGTCATTGTGTTTCTTTTGACAAACTCTTCAAAATGAGGGGTCACTCAATAGGGGTTGCTATTTGAAAAAAATAAGTCACCCCCTACCACCTACCCTGTTAGGGGGGTAAAAAAATATTTTTCATGTGAAAAATTGCGGAATCTTTGTTAACTATTATTGCCACAAATAGAATATTTCTATCTATTTCGGTTTTAAAAATACAGATTTGTTTCCATACTTAATTTACACACTGTATATAGGTACAATACATATAATTATATACCAGCAGTTACCCGGCACGCGTTGCTATGCTTAACGCGCATATTATTAGTTATTATTAGATATTAGGAGTCCATATAAGGTACATTCATATATACATACATACATTTCCTCTTTTATTTATAGATATATCTATATATAAAGCCAAAGTACCCATGAACTTTTGAGAAAACTACAAGTCACACCCCCATAAACCATATACTTAAAATGTTTGTCATGACGAGAAACCTTGCGCAAAATTATCCATTATTTCTTAAATTGCCCTATAAGGTCGTAATTGCTTTCCAAAGGGAACTTTCCATATACCTAATATTAAAAATACCGCGAACTCGTTCGAATAAACGTAGGTTTACACGTTTGTACCAAATTTAATCGAAATCGGATCATTTTTGCTCGAGTTATCGTGCTAACGGACACACACACACACACACACACACACACACACACACACACACACACACACACACACACACCCACGCACGCACACATGTATATATATATATGAATTTGAACGGATGGTGTTTTGGCTTCTAGGGACATAAAAATGAAAAAGTAAATCGGTCCCGGGACTAAGTCTTACCATAAGACCTACGGTAATAACTTATTCCCTATAGGGGAATTCGCTAAAATATTACAATGTATTTCTAAATTACCATTAAAATTAAATTTTAGAACTAAAACTAAATTAAATCATTTACTATAACAAAACAAAAATACAATTCAAACAAATAAGAAAAAATACGTGGTTAGGTATTTCATGAAATTAATCGCGTTGAGATACCATACTCAAAGACAGTAGTGATGCCACTCCCAAACTAACATAATATGACTATTAGATAAAACAATTGATTGAATTTTATGAAAACATATTTGAGTGCTTTGTAATACTCGCTAAATATTTAAATAAAAAAACAACTAATACGGGTACCTAATTAATTAACAAAAATTAAACCTTGAGTAAAATTACAAAAACAAAAACTCCACATCCTCATGGGAAAAGGAAAAGAGCCATATTATTTTTTTATTATGTTTTGTTTATTTCAGGATAACTTAACCAACCAATAGTTTTATTCATACTTAAGAAGTCAAACAGGGTGAAGCCCGTGGGTAACAACTAGTACTAGTAAGATATATATAATATATACCGGTACCCAATTTCATCAAAATCGGACTAAAATTACTCAAGTTATCGTGTAACGTATATACCATAACTTGACTAATTTTTGTCCGATTTTGATAAAATTTGGTTTGAAGGTGTAAGGTGGGATAAACTTGAATGAGTTCGCGCACTAGCATGATCAGACCATGGGAACGGGGTGTTATGGGGTAAAAATGGATGTTTATACTTTTTGACCCTTTTAACACAAAATTTCCCAATTTCTCTCCAGACCTTTTTAAAGAGTTAAAAAAAAACAAATGATTTAGTATATTAAAGTGATTTCGTACAATTATTGGTTACGGAGAAAAAAAAATTTAATTTAAAATTTCCATGTTATTCTTATGGAGAAAATTGTAAAATGTTGTAGTTTGCTATTTTATTGATAGATTTTGATAAAACTTGGTAAATTTATTTTTTTATACTAAGTTATTATAATATTTTACCAAGAACACACTTTTTTACCCTTCCTGTAGCAGCAAGCCTAGGTACTCATAAAACCTAATGTTAATTAAATGCATTCAATTGAAAATCAATTCAGGCAAATGGAAATTCGCTTAGTCGGCAGGTTTGCTGTGGTGGGGATATTTTAAATGATAAGGAATCAAGTTATACAATTTTGGTCCGATATAAAATTGAGGTGATGCTTCAAATAGTGATAAATCTATAGCTAGTAGACTTAGGTTCTTATGTCTAGTGTTATAGTGGCCGAGGTTATACCTATGGTCTGTGTGCCCCTCCCTGAAAATGGACAATTTTTGAATACCCAAAATAATGCTACTAAAGTATACAGGTCATAAAATGTCAAAACGTGAAAAGTCTTTAAAAGCGTCGAAGCATATATTAAACACGTATATGGTTGAAGTCACCTAGTTGGCTCATTTCTTGATGGTCGTGCTGGTTGCTGGCTCGCTGGCTGAGCGTTGAGCTAGCTGGCTGCCTGTGCGAAGAGCGACTTGACTTGACTCGAGTGAGTAGTCAACTGACGTCAGACGTGATGATAAACAAACTGTTTATGTGTAGGTTATACAACTTAACCTCAATGACAACTTGTAAAACTAATTAAATTAATTTTGAAGGAATACTGTACTGTACAGTTTATCATCTTTTATTTTATGCAGTAGTCTATTATCACTAAATATTTAAGGTATGTTTTGCTCATTATTTAAATATAGTCTATAATTAGATGTTTAAATACCTAGCCTAGTTAGACTAGGCCAAGGCTTAAGTGTAGGCCTATTCAAAAGCTAACTTTAAATTATTGTACCTGGTGATTTGTCTTTAGGAACTTAAATTAAGCAAATTTATTTAAAATTGAGTACTTGTCAACAAACATGGTTTAGAAACATTTACTATTAACCTAAATGTTGTTTTCTGGAATGAGTCATAGGTTCCGAGGAAAGGGCAGCATCCCCTTGTATGCCTAATAATTAAACCGAAAGTTCTATTCAAAAGTAGATAATCTGCAAGTTACTTATTGAAAAGAAGGTAAGATAAAGTTGCATTATAGGGTATGTGCTACTCTGCCCCTAACTTATGGTAAGCCTAACAATAACTTATTAAAAATGTTTTGGTTTGAAATGGGTGACCATCAAGCTGGTTGATTATTCCGATACCTAAGCTATGTGCTATCTTATTGTTACATTTTATCTCTGAGTAGGTTTAGCCTTATATTAAGTTTGGAGTCTTTGTTTCAGATTTGTTGTTAAATCGCTAATTCACCACAAAGGAAATGGATAAGAAAGAATTGGATAAAGCTTTTGTAATTCTCGGAGAGGCTTCAGAATCTGACGATGATGAGAAAGTTGTTCTATCTGTGGTAAAATTATAAGATTATTTAAAATTACCCTAAGCTTTTATAAGTTATAGGTAAATTAAGTTGTTTACAAATACATTTATGTACATAATGTAGTACCTATGTACCTATCTACCGGTACCTAATTCTAAAGGTATAATACAAGGGAGAAATTGCCTTACACTGTCTGTATGTCTCTGGTACTGTACATAGGACTGTACTTACTGTATATTATAAAGCCTACTGTACTTAAGTGCTGTCTTCCCATCTTCAGTAATTAACCCTCCGAGCATCACTCGTCGAAAAATCAACGCACGACTCACTTTGTGTAGTGTCACGCATCGATTTTTCAACGCACGAACATCATTTACGGCGAAGGCTCTATGACTGACTGAATCGGATTGAACTGGATCGAGTTAGGTATCGTTCTTTTCGTTATATTCTAAGCTTTCTCCAGAGGTCTGTCTCTAAGCGCTTTATGTTCTCCAAGCCGATCGTAATTGTAGCAGACAGCTGACGTGCGTATTTGTAAACAGCTTGGTTACCCTCGGACCGATGACTGATGTGTTTTATTACATTTATCATTGTTTTAGTGTTAAAAATCAAAAGTAGTGATATACGTGGTGCATTATAAGAAGATTTAAGTGATTTTGAAGGGCTGGTTGATGATCCTGAAGAAGTAGGTAGTGATATTGATGTAAATTATCAGCCAGATTCCTAGCTATGGTTAGGCTATGCATTCTAAGCTAAACGCTATGTACTGAAATCTGTTTTTTGCCCATAACTTTATTTGCAAATCTACTTCCTTATATTATTATATATTTGTAATCCTCATAAAATTTAGAACAAAGTGGCTATTTTCAAATATTTATAGGCCTATAATTTATACAATTTCATTGACCGCAAACTTATTTTTTTTTTAATTTTCCAAAATATTTTTTTTTTACCTAAACATTTTTTTTGAAACAAATGTTCCTTATGTTTTATGTATAATATTGAAGCCCATGATTTTCCAAACAAAATGGTATATAGAACAGTAGAATTAACATTGTTTTAAGCTTCTCAGATCCGTTTTAATAAAACCTTGCAAATGCGCCAAAAATAGGCGGACATTAAGGCCTAAACTATGGACACCCGGAGGGTTAACAAATTGTTACAAAAGTTACTTAACCTTTATTAAATTGTTACCATCTTAAAATATTATTAAGAGTTGTAAATATTGCAATATAAGGATTTTTTTGCCCTAATATATATCTTCAGGGCTTAACACCTGGGTTACCTGATGGGCATACGGGAGGGACTGGCTAAAGGTGTGGTGACGTCATACCTCTAGTGGCTAATGTCTTCTCTTGAGGCAACACAATTACCGTAACGAGACGATATGATTCCAGCGGTGTTCGTGGCTTGGCTGATGGCGTTTCGGCTTGGTGTTCAGGAGGTCTCCAGTTTGAAACTAGCCGGAGAGACTTAACTTTTTGTCAAAGATTTTGTTTTGGAGGCGACTACTTCTTAACTGTACCTCTTTTGTTAGAACTTTACACTCTTTTTGATCTCACTCATGCACTACTTGTTGCCATCCAACTTTCTATTTATAAATTGTAAATATTTGTATGGTTAATTTTTTTTGCTACTATTGATATTGTTACTACTATTGTTATTGTTTACTATTTGTACAACTTTTACTAGGTATTTTGTTTCCTGTAATTTCAAGGTGTGAATGTTTTTTCATTGTAAAGTGGCTATGCCGTTGGGAAATAAAATAAAATAAATAAATAAAATTTCATGCATTTATAATTTTATTTATGAACAGAACTTTTTTTTAAATAGTAAACCTTTATTCAATTTTTATCTTATATCTTTTAGCGAATTTCCCATATAGGGAATAAGCTATTACCGTAGTACTCATGGTAAGACCTGGACCCGGGACCGATTTTTTTTTTCGTTTTGAGGTCCCTAGAGGCCAAAAACACCATCCGTTCAAATTCATATATATATATGTGTCCGTTAGCGCGATAACTCGAGCAAAAATGATCCGATTTTGATGAAATTTGGTACAAACGTGTAAACCTACGTTTATTCGAACGAGTTCGCGAACCAGCATGATCGGACCATGGGAACAGGGGTTTATGGGGGCTTTTATGGGGTAAAAATGGGTTTTTCCTATTTTTGACCCAAAAAACATAAAATTTTGAAATTTCTATCCAAACTATTTTGTAGAGCTTAAAAAAACAAATAATTTAGTATATTGAAGTGTTATAATGCGCCCAATGGTTACGGAGAAAATTCCAAAAAATTGTTAATTTAAAATTCCCATGTTATTCTTATGGAGAATAAGTAAACCGTTGTAGTGTGCTTGTTTATTAACATATTTTGCCCAAATTTGGAAAATGTTTTTATTTCTTACTAACTATTAACATTTTACATAATAAAAAAACACTTTTACCCTCCCTGTTGCAGCAAACCTAAGTATGTGTTAAACTGATTCTATTTAAATAGGGAATAAATGTGATATTTTTAAGGAGACATTTTAGTCTAAATCCAATCAGGCAAATGGAAATTCGCTTAGTCTGCAGGTTTGCTGCGGCGGGGGTATTTTTATATTGTCAGCAAGTTTGGTTGGTTAGGTTAGGTTTGGCAGTTAAATTTTATAATTAACAATTTTAAAATTCTTTCTATAAATAAATATTTATTTTATAATTTAAAAGTTAATTTTATGTCTAAATGTTATAAAATTAATTAACATTTTTTCAACTTAGCAGTTCTAGCAGCGAACGCTGACACTACAAGATATGTTAGCCATAGTCCCTCCCGTGTGCCCCACCGCCTGGGTTACAGCTTTTTGTTTTTAATTTTAATTTTCACCTCACCCTGCTGGACCACACAACTGTCTATAAAAGTCCATATGGGTCGGATCACGAATACTAAAATAAAACCGGTATGGATCATAAATGGGTCGGATAAGGTTCATATTTATCATGTTGCAAGATTTACACCAACCCGAATCCTGTTCTGTATTTGAAAGAGATAACTTATGAATGCATTTTTTCTAGGTAAGAAATAAAGATAAATCCTCATCAGTACCATTTAACAAGGGAGTAATCATACCTGGAGAGGCATCTGAATCAGAAAGTGAAAATGAAGGTAAGATTTTGTTCATCAAATTATTTGGTACTTTCCTGTTAAAGGGAACATTCGATATGGAACATTATTGCCTATCGATGTTTTTAGGATATAGGCTATCAATATTTTTTGTATTCCTTTACGATCCATATTCCTTCTGTATTGATGTCTTCAAATGCATTTAAATTACAAATTGACAACTGATCTTGTTAAGGTAAAAATAATACTGGGTGTCCCAGAAAGGATTGCACTTTTATTTTGGGGAAAGCCGAATGTCCAAGAAAGATAAGGAAATGAGCTTATCAGGGTTTTATAGCCATGCCCGTGGAAATTCATTTGCCATGGATGGCTTTGCCGGCAAGCAGCGTGCTTTCCGTGTACGCGACTATTACCAAACGCTGCAACCTCAGGGTTTTTAGGTTCGTGCTTGGAACTCTCTTTTATTACCAATTTCCTTGCTAATAGCCTATTTTAATTTGAAACTTTTTTTTATGATAATAAAGTTAGCCTTTGATTTTTTTTTTTTTACTAAATAATTTTATATCAAATTTGGATAAGATTGTTCTAAAACAAAAGTCTTTACTTGAATCAAGATTTTAGGCTATATAAATTTTAACAGTTACGAGGCTACTCGATCCACCTCAAAAATAGGCTAGTGTTCTCAAATTGTCCAACACCTATAGGATAGTCTGTAATAATAAGATGGAGATTACCAAGTTTCTTCCAAGTTTCCACATTTCTTCTTGTTTAAACTATTTGAAATAATGAGACTGTTTTGGTTTAGCTTTTCACTTTTTACTAGAAAATATTATAATATAAAAATCATACAAAACAGTTTTTTTTTTTTTTACTCTCACCCAGATAGTTCATGATAGAAGAAGAAGGAAATCCAGTTGTTACCTAACACATGTTTTTCAGCAACAATGTATTCAGGTCTTCTATATCTTGAAGTTTACTGTTCACTTTTTAGTCACTCAGGCCAATTAATAGTATATGAAATTTAATTTGGGTAAATTACTTTTTGAGATTTTGTTTAGATATATATAATTATTTTTACTTTAGCTTGTGTTTGAAATAGATTTTAAACATAGTATATTTTAAATAGGCTTTTAGGCTTAATTGACTGGTAATAGGCTATTTATATATTATTTAATTATACAAAATTTTATGAACTGTTGCAACGCTTTCATTACGACACTTCCACACTCAATACAGACTTCAAGATCTCAAACGAAATGCCATCAGTGAACAATAATAGACCTTATAATTAAATGTTGGGTGGACAAATGTGAAGCTACAGGATCAACTATGAAACCTAGTCCTATCGGTTGCCATAGAGAAGCGCGATCTGAACAAAATATCGGGCGTGTTCGAGATGCTGTAGAGGATAATCCACATCGATCAGTAAGAAAACACGCTGCTGCTTTGAGTATACCCGAACCAGTATTCACCGCATTTTGAAACAAGATTTGAAGTTCCACCCGTACAAAACTCAATTAGTACAGGCATTAAAAAATACAGCATGGGTATACAGCATGAGACTCCATGACTTCAATAAGGAAGCTGTTTCGTGGGAAAGTCATTTCCAGATTTAGTGACAATAGCTCTCCTTCAAGAAGCCCACACCTAACTCCACTAGTTTTTTTTTTTGTGGTTGTATCTAAACAGTCGGGTGTACAACAACGCTCCTGCTACCCTCAATCATCTAAAGCAAAACATTCGTGAGGAAACTGAAGCCATCTCACCAGAACTCTGCTGTCGAGTCCTCGCAGATGTAAGGTTTCGTTTGGCGGAGTGCCGGCACCGTAGAGGTCTACATCGGGAAGATGTAATCTGTCACAAGTAATTTCCCTGAAGTGTACAAACATGTATTCTTGGAAACATTGCTGTAAATAAAGCCATTTTTCTGTTTTGTTAGTTTTAAAAGTGCATTCCTTTCTGGGACACCCAGTATATAATACTAGCTCCTGTACCCGTGCTTCGCAACAGGAAGATGTACTATATCGCCTAATCCTAACACTTGTTAAGTGTAGTTTGAATTTATAAACAAAAAGTCACCAAATTTATACAAAAAGTATGACCTACATTGAATTGTTTTACTCTGTACATTAAAATGTATCAATAACATAATTGTCACAACTTACGGTTATAGAATCTTTCTTTAATTTCATAATCAATGACATAGGCAGTTTTAGAAATAATCGTGTAAAATATTTTATTTAATTTGTTTGGATCAGCTGTCTGAAATTGTCAAATAAGCATTCAACAATTCTGATTGTTTACATTGAAATGTCAACACAAAGGTAAACAAAGGTTGTGAATTTTCTCATGCTCCCTGGAGACCAATTAATATATTAACTTTTGATAATCTCACCTCAAAACTTTGGACAAACAGAGACCACCTACATTTTATAATAGTATAGATTTTTAGATAGCCTATGGATTAAAAAATTAAACTGTTTTAAAAAACTAACATAATTAACCAAACTGAAGAAATAATTAAAAGATGGCAAGGAACATTTTGAAGATTTGTTGAATTGTGAACAGGAAGAGACAGAGGAGCCAGAGGGTACAGTTGTGGGGGACAGAACCCAACAGGAAATCTCAGAATACATCACTTTTGTAGAACTACAAAACTCAATTAACAAGCTAAGAAATGACAAAATGGAAGAATTCCAAAGTGGATGGATCCATGGTAGGATTTAATATTCACAATGTGCATCCTCAGTGAAAAGATGGTCAAGATGGGGAAAGATTTCCATGCTGGTTTTATTGATTTAAGCCAAGCATTTGAAAGAATGCCAAGGAATTAAATTTGGAGAGTTATGGCAAAGCTGCAGGTTAAAAATGAATTGATACAGGTAATCAAGAGCTTATACAACAACTGTAAAAACTATGTTAGAACTTGCATTAAAAAGTCAACTGAATCTATCACAAAGCAAGGAGTTAGGCAAGGAGATAACTTGAGCCCTCTTCTTTTTATTCTACTGCTGGACGAAACAATGAAAAACTTGAAAGCTAAAACTTAAAGTCTTGTGGTGGGAAACTATCAATTAAGAGCTGTTAAAATTTTAAGCCTAGCTTTTAGGGACGACTTAGTGGTTTTGGGGAAAAACGAGGACAGTTTGCAGCATAATATGAAAATATGGGCAGATGAGCTGTCAATAAGATATGAAAATAAATGCAAACAAAACCCAAACCATGGTCATCAATGGGAAAAAGGTCAACCATCAAATCTCACTAGGAAACGGCCCCTTGAAACAGGTACCAACATTTAAATATCTAGATTCAGTTATCGCATAAAATGGAAAAATAGAAGAAGAAATGAAAATAAATACAAACAAAACCCAAACCATGGTCATCAATGGGAAAAAGGTCAACCATCAAATCTCACTAGGAAACGGCCCCTTGAAACAGGTACCAACATTTAAATATCTAGATTCAGTTATCGCATAAAATGGAAAATAGAAGAAGAAATAAATATAAGCGTTGCAGCAGCAAGTCGCCTCTTTTGTTGCATAACAAACTAATTTCTGGCCAAGGAAGAAATCTCAAAGAAAACCAAATTAGCAGTCTATAAATCTACCTTTGTGCCTACCTTGACCAATGGATGTGAATCCTGTACTTTGACAAAAAGACTCAAAAGCAAGCTCCAAGCAATGAAGATGAGGTATCTTAGGAAAGTAGAAAACAAAACTAGAAGGGATAGGATAAGGAATGTTGCAATAAGAAACACTTTAGATGTTAAGCCCTTAACCACCACAATACAGGAACAGGAACTAAAGTGGTTTTGGCATGTTCATCGTATGCCCACAACTCGGCTTCCGAAAATGATGAAAGAGGTCAAAGTTGAGGGAAAGTGCAAGAGAGGTAGACCGAGAAGGAAATGGGAGGAAAACATAGAGGATGCTCTGTGTGAAAGTGGCAACTCCATTCGTAAAGCTCTACCATTCACTGCAGACAGAAAGTTATGGAGGCGCCTCGAAACCAACCGGTAGAAGAGAACAGGATTAATTAAGTAAGTAAGTAACTAACCAAACTTGCTGTACTATTTCAAAATTCTGTTTGATAACACAAAGCATGTGCTGAATTCAAAAAGAATTTTGAAATGTTACAGCAAGTTTGGTTAGTTAGGTTAGGTTCATTTAGAACAGTTTTATTTCAATTCTTACTGTAACTTAATATTTTTTAAATTGTTTGTTGATACTGAACAATATTTATTTATCGTAGTTGTCAGCTGATCTATATATATAATTCCGTAAGTCAAATTTTTGTAAAGAAATTGTGAGTGACTGGATGGTTGTAGAAGGATGGGAGGGGTCTTATTTTAAAGGTCTTGACGTGAATTTTGAGGGAAAACTATTCATTTTTCTTATTTTTTTACCATAAATTCACAACAGAATAAAACTTTTCCCATTAAAACAACATGGGGTTTAATTTGAAATTAAAACAGCTGTGCCACAGATTTGAAAACAGTGATCAATACACGCATTTGGTTTACTTTTAGCCAGTCAACTATGAAATGTATACTAAAATAAAACTGAAATATTGAAGATTAGTCGGAAAAACGTCTGCATTCTTTGTTTATATTTAAATCATATACTCAAGTTTCATTTTTTCATGCTTTTACGTTATTGTCGTGTTAAAGGAATAAATGACATAGAATAAATATTCTGTATAAATAATCAAAGAGTCTAAATTAAATCTAACTTCTGTTTTGTTTTTATTTTTAAATCATATGTTCAAGTTTATTTTAAATGATGTTGTTTTCTTTATATTTCTACACATTTTAAGGTTAAGGTTGTGTGAATATATACAACTAAAATAACCTATAAATGTTATTGGTTCTAAAATGGTGTATTTGCATTCCTTCGTAAGTAAATTTTTTTAGTGCAGTGAATATACAACGTAGAGTAGTCATATTCGATCATACTTTTATAAAATCGCCAGGGATTCAAGATGTTTTGGTATGTAGGCTGCTGGATATATATTCTTTTCATTATAAGTACTGTAATTAATATGAACGCCAGGGGAATACCACAAAGGCGGGGAACTGTTCATAGGAATGACAGTGCGCGTAGGAGAGCAAGAGTAGATAATGACGAACTTAATCAAGATATGTTACAACCCCTTTTTAGGAGACCCATGGTAGACGAGAGAAATGTAAATATTCATGATGCAGGATTACTGGACCAAGAGTGCATTCAATGTAGTGCTCTTCATTTTAGAGAAGAACTAACGAATAATCATTTTATGACATGTTGCCATAACGGACTTATTAACCTTCCTCAGTCAAAAACTAATGTAGAACTTAAAAGTTTGTTTGAAGAGAGCCCACAACTGTATAAATTCATTCGACAATGCAACAGTGCGATGGCTTTTGCTTATTTTTCAGCCAGTAAGAAAGATATTCCAGGAAAAGGACCATACTGTTTCAAAATTCAAGGACAGATTTATCGTTCAGTCTCAGATTTGCTGCCTCAACAATCAACATGATGAAGACCCCGTGTATGGCCAATTGTACATTATTGACACATCAACAGCAACAGAAATTCGTCAAAGGCGTCGAGAAAATAGTGACTTAAAACCTGAAATATTGTCAAAACTAGCTGAAATTCTATTAGAAAATCCATTTGCACAAATTTACAAAAGAGCTTCGGAAGAAATGGTTGAACAAGGTGACAGTGAATTAGAACTTAGGTTTGTAGACAGGATAAATATGGATCGTCGTAGGTATAATAAGCCTACTGCAGATGAAATTGCAGGCGTCTTCAATTCATCTGAAGGCGAACCTCCAATGAATTTTTAAAATTCCAAACAGGGAAGCTTTTATTTATCCTCATTAACCACAAGACCAAAGCTACCTTAGTAAACCAGTATTTATTCACAAACAATGATATGTTTGCTGCCTTTTCATGTTAAACCACTGGAGTGATTCAAATTATTTATTGAAAATGACATCAACAAAAGCAAACAAAGAAGAACAACAAACTGGTTTTTACACAAAAGATATGGTGTAGGGATGCCTATTCTGACACATAGATAATGTTATTCTGAGTTTGTTTAAATACCGGTATTGCAAAAAGTTGTTTTACATTTGAGGTTTTTAGGGACTTATGTCCCTACAAGCCACTAGTATGTTTCAATTTGATAATACTTAATATCGATATATTGGATCAAAAAATAAAATATCAATATACCTATCAAAAAAACATTGATAACTTAAAAATGAATGTTCCCTTTAACAGGAAGGTACTGTACCTATTATTTAGTTGAGCTGGACTTCTACCTTGTATGAGAGGGTAAACTTTTCAATTATTCAAAATAGTAACCATGCTGTGTTAGTTAGATCAATTCCCGTTCTGATGGGCAGAACCAGCCACTATTACCATTGGGGAGCAAGTTTTAGAATACCAATAAATATAGGCTATGCCACAGCAGTTGGATTGAGTCACTGACATTTTAACACAGCCAAACTGAGAGGACTATTTACTAACTGTAAACTTGTTGCATATTATAATGTCACATCAACTATCACAGTGAAAATATAACCAGAGGAGAAAATAAACTTTTACCCTGTAAGTCCTGTGATTAGCTGATCAAACTTATGTATTAGCAAATTCCCTATATAGGGAATAAGCTATTACACTATCCGGGGCCGCTTTACTTTTTCGTTTTGATGTCACCAAATGCTGAAAACACTAGGCCTACTGTTCAAATTCATATAGCCTATATGTGTCTGCGTTACATACAACCATAGATAAAACATACAGTAGATTTCTCATCCTTATGGAACAGCTGAAGACAATTTTATTGTTAGTTCTGTACGGTTTATGTAGAGGTCGTGTTTTGTTTACAATTTGTTTCCCGTTATTACAGCCATTTAAAACCTCGTTTAACCAAATAATACGATATAATCATAAACAATAACTTGTCCCCTAGTTATATAACCAAACAGTAAAGCACAAATCAAGAAATTAACCCTAAAATAATAGAAACAAAGTTTCGTCGACACTAGCGCCTTTGTGTCACGTACATGAACTAGACACGAAAAACGTGCTTCAAAATTTACAATGGGATGAGAAGTCTACTTGTGTTGGTTAGTCTATGATACAACTCATTATTTCGGCTGCTGGTTACTAAATAAGAAATTTTACAAGCAAAAGAATAGATAAGAGCTAAAATCTGTTTTAAAATTTGTCTACTTTCACAGAATTTTGAGTCTGACATTGGTCATGTAATTTCATTTAAGCATCACATAAGATAGATAATGAAAGTACAGTACTATACCGAACTGTTATTGTCTGTGAGTGTTATAAAGGAATGTGAGTTTTATGTATTTATTGCTTTGATTACAGAAGCATGCCGTGATGCGTTTTTTGCCAGAAGTGGAGCCGTAGAGAATGACATAGATGCAGAGGAACAACCTCACTCTGCTCAGTACGATACATTACTTCATAAAAAACTGAGTAAGTGAAATGTGTTGTAATTCTATACCTCAGTCTTCACAATGTATTATGTACATTCTACTTGTTCTGTATATGTTTGGGTAATACATTATTCAGACCTAGAACACTACTTGTTGAATTGTCAAAAGTTCTCTCAAAATTTGCTATAGGGGCCTAATAGCAGTAAGGGCCATGTCATACAAGCGCTATTGCCGTCGCGCAGATGCCGTAGAGATAGCGCCGGAAAAAGTACATGTCATACGTGACGGCAAATGCGTCGCATTGATGCCGTCCCGCCAACGCCAGGTGCCTGTCATACGTAGCGTCTTCCGGGCGTATTTGCTGTCGCGACAATTATGTTATTATCAAGATGGACACCATCCAGTTAGGTTGTATCAGCGTTTTGCACATTTTAGATACATAGGAATGGAGAGTATTATCGGAAGAATCCAAGACGATGGGGAACCCATCCTGTGCTTTATTCTCGTTTGTCGAAAGGACAGTTTCATCTGATGTTCCAGGAACACAGGAAGTATGAAGATAATTTTGACTTTACATCGTACAGAGGTGGCAGTTTTTCAACTAAATAAATAAATTTTTCCGTATCAAACATCGTATCAAATATCGTAATGATCACTCCAAAGGTGTTCCAGTTGTTCTGACAGTGCTCACGCGGCAAATGCGTCCCGCTGGCGCTAGCGCTCCGTATGACAGGGTCTGTGCGCCGCATCGCTAGCGCGACCGTCCGCGTTGGCTGCGCTCAGCGTCCTGCTAACGCGGACTTGCCGACGGCATTAGCGTCTGTATGACAAGCTCCATTAGAACCCAATTGCCGGGTTGGAGCGACTTTAACGCGACGGCATCTGCGCGACGGCATTAGCGCTCGTATGACATGGCCCTAAGCTAATTTTTATCTCACAGAAGATGAATTTTATCTGGTATAGTTTTCTTATCGAAGCTCTTACATCAGAGTTGGTGCAAGATGTTTTCTTAAACATACAGGAGTCATTTTTAGCACGCTTGACGTACAAGTCTAGAGACACCGTAGTAATGGTAAAAAGTTATTTAAAAGGCAATTTTCAGATCTAAATTTATCAATTGCAGTAAGTGTAGTTATCCGTAGGGTGTCCATTTGACCAGAAGAATTGAGAATACTTTAACTTTTAAGAGTAGGCCTACTTGAATTTTGATGACCATAGAAATGAACTGTACCTACATACATTTTGTGTAGGACTGGGAAATTTTAGTTAAATCTGCCACAAATCGCCTTTTTCCTCTTTTTACGTAGTCATCTCAAGTTAATTGCGTTCGTGGAAGATAACTACAAAGATTCCGTAGTTGCGGGAGATAACCTTGTCGCCATGATCGTGACAGATAATCACGATGATTCCGTTATTGCCGCAATCGTACAGTATTAATATAACATGGAATTTGTTGTTTTTATAAAATAAGAGAAATTTGATACTTTTCCATAGAACTTAGGCAATGACCCACTGCTACCCAATAGATGCAAACACGTTACATAATAGTTACTACATTGGTGATTTTTTTGGGATTGTTTAGCGGTGGATTATCAGTTGTTTGAATAGTTTTTGGAGTCAGGTGTGAAGGGTACAATGCTATGCAAATATTCCAGGTCAGCTTATTTAAAAAATATATATAAACTAGCTGACCCGGCGAACTTCGTATCGCCTAAGTTATAGGTTTCCCTTAAGACAGACCGATGGAAAGAAAGTACCGTTACGTTTAATTTTCAAGATGATCTCGTTCGCATCGCTCAATCACGTCCTGGTTGAAGTTCGTTCGCTACGCTCACTCACCTTTGGGTTGGAGCTCGTTCGCTGCGCTCACTTGCCTTTAGGTTGGAGCTCGTTCGCTACGCTAACTCGCCTCCAGGTTAGCTCGTTCGCTACGCTCCCTCGCCTCCAGGTTGAAGTTCGTTCGCTACGCTCACTCACCTTTTGGTTGCAAATTAGCTGTTGTCATAAATGTAAAAGAAATAATAGTGCTGCACCCTGTTGGTAATCCTTGTAACTTTAATGCTATTGCACATCATAGAACAGAACCAACTTGTTTAATTGAAACAGCTGTTAAGATTAATTAATTCCATTTCTCATAAGGTTAACATGGGAAACTCCAGAGCCACTGGGGTGGAGCCCTTTTAAGAATTTCGAAACGGGAAATAGTTTACGTCCGATTCGCATACCTACAGAATTTACACACCAAATTTCATTACGATCGGTGAAGTCGTTCCGGAGGAGTTTGCAGACAAACACTGTGACACGAGAATTTTATATATTAGATATATATATATATATATAATTTTTAAATATGGTGTAGGTTGTCTAATCTTTAAAATAAATAAGAATTAATTTCCGGTAGCTATCCTTAGGGAGGAAATTTTTATTAAGAGCACATGGTGCTGATTTGGAAAGGGAGACACCCTATATCAGTGCACTGTCTATAAATGTCCAAAAAGTAGGGATGGACGAGATTGGATTTTTAGTTCGAGACCAGACGGGATTTCCCTTCTCATACATAACAGGAAATGCATGCTCGACATTTTTACCCGATTTCGTAACATTGTTAGATGACTGTTTAGATACAAAAATGGCCTAATAATAACAGGCAAGAATATTTAAAATCTTTTAATTAAAAAACATCAGGATAAAAAAATGTATATTAATTAAGCCTAACTTATTAAAAATGCTTACGATTAGGAAACATAGTGATATAAGTTAGAATTGAGCTACACTTATCCTAAAATACATTAAATCATAAAATAAAAGCAATATCTATATAAATAATATTAGAGTTTTGTCTGTACATTGCTCAGAATCATAACTTTTTTGAATATTTTTACGTTTTATACATTAAAGAATCCGAAACAAGTCTTATCTAAATTTCTGTCTGTCTGTCTGTAACACTCAAGATGGCATTTTACACAAGCTTCTCCAGGAAAACGAGAGTACCTATCAAGATCCAAGTCATTTTAATGTATTCACTGGATTGGCGAGAGTGTCTTTAGCCATTAAAATATGGCCTCAATACTTTGTAAATAAAATTACGGACGTTCAAAAATTCAGTTTTGTGCGATTTTTGTCAAGATTCCGTCCAATTTTTATCACATAATCATCTATGAAATAACGAACAGCTGTTCGGATCAAGATTATTTTTTCTAGCTGTAACTCATATGTTTACAAATGTTGTTTACCAATACCGCAACCATTTCCGATCACGTTTTGAAGGCAAATCCCATCCAAGTGAGATTAAAAACGTTTTTCTTACATAAAGGATTTAATTAATCGTAAGTGGAATAATATAAAGTTTTGCTTTTTCTGTCTGGATTCCAAAATGTTAGTTTATGCTAAGAAAACGATAACGCATTTTAGTAAAACATTTATTCAGCAAACCATCACAAATTGTTCAAACGCTTTGAACGTTGTTTATGTATCAATAGTTCGTGGCCTATTTTGGTATTTTTATTATAAATTACCAATCTAAATTGTCTATAGATTTACTGTACTTCATTTCATATAGCAAACCGATTCATATAGCATTTCGACAGAATTTCGGGTCATCTTCGGTCCAAGCAAATATAAATTGTTATTAGGGATGGTCAAGTCTCGAAATTTCGGGAAATTTTAAATCTCGTTACACGAGACGAAATTTCTTTTTGGCTGAGATTTTTATCAAGACAAGAATTAAAAAAAAAAAAAAAAAAAAAAAAAAAAAAAACGCCTGCAGAAAGTCAATGCAATACCCGCAATACAGGAGCGTGTTGTAGTTGCGTTTCCTTTGCGAAGGCGTTCTTATTTAATTCTTTAAATGTAAATATAACTTTAATTATTTTAATAATATTACTTTAATAACATTTGAGAAGTTTTGTTAAGTGTAAGCAGTGTGAGGAATGTTTTATTACTATAAAAAGTCAAAACAAGTAACTATTTTATAAAAACTAATATTGCTTTTATTTTATGATTTATTTTATTTTAGGATAAGTTGAACTCTATCCTAAGTGATATCACTATGTTTCCTAATCGTAGGCATTTTTAATAAGTTAAGCGTGATTAATAAAAAAAATGTTATGCTGATGTTTTTTAATAAAAGATTGTAAATATTCTTGCCTATTATCATTATTTTTGTATTTAAACAGTCATCTAACAATGTTACAAAATCAGGTAAAAATTTTGAACGTGCATTTCCCGTTGTGTATGAGAAGGGAAATCCCGTCTCGAAATTTTATGAGAAATAAAAAATCTCGTCTCGTCTCGTCTCGAACTAAAAATCCAATCTCGTCCATCCCTAATTGTTATGATAAAATTTTATTACATTAATAAAGATTTCAAATACTAATTTTATACGTACTTTGTTATGCATAAAGCGAAGCAAATTCCCTAATTGAGTTCTGTATTTTTGTGTGTATGTCTGTTGGTAACGCAATTAATGTCCTTATTTCTCAGTGTTTCACGGAAAGGACAAGAGCACCATGATAATAAAAATGTCAACCCGAATAAAGTGTTAAATTGTGAGGTCGAGTTAGTACCTTAAATACTTTTAACCATTGTGAAAAGTAACTTTCAATTATAGGCCTACCTTAGGGCTATGTCTTATAGATCTATAAAGCATGTTTTAGTTTAATCATTGGATTTGCCATATGGACCAACAAGATCCGGGTGACATTTAATTGGGAAGCATCATTTTTGGCTTGAAACTGTCAGATACTGTATTTGCGAAGGTTTATATATAATAGTTTTGTCAGCATATCTGAAAGTATGCAAACCAACTGCTGTGCTTTATATAAGGTTTTAACTGAATATAATAAGATCCCCGTGCGTAGAACGGGCACACAGCTAGTATATTATATTATTTGTTTTTTCTGGAAACCCTAAAACTAGATTAGTATGGTTAACTAATATACAGGTAATGTAGACCATAAACCACAAAATGAATAATATATCAAATTACGATAATCCTCTAACACAATAATGCTTGTATTACAACCAACCAGGCAGACATTTACCTTTTCCACCACAGATCTTTATTCATAGCCTATCCTCTATGCAACCAAGGCAGGCAAGTCATTCTTTACATAGCTACACTTGTAAACTTTAAACAGAGTAATTAGCAACTAGTTTGAAAAACTGCAAGCATCTTCTACGAAGCCAGCCCAAGACTGGAGCAGCTACACCAAGGTCAGTTTCCATTTTGCGACTCAGGTCCGAGCTGTCTGTAGTCAATGCAGATCGCTTCAACTTTTTGACTCGTCCAGCCCGTTCCGAATGCCATCGAACGGTAAAGGACAAGACAGCTTTTTACCTCTCGACGTGTCTTCCTCTCACATTCGTCATTTCAGATCAATTAGGCATCGATTCTTCTCCGGCAGAATGTCGACGAAAGGCAGCTACTCTCTTATCAGCCAATCTACATAAAACAATCCCATTTCATTCAATAGGTGCGCCCGATCGACGGAGTCCGATACGCATTAATTGAAGTCACTGCGTACTCAATCATTTACTAATTACAAACATTATCTCTTCGAATCGGATTTTGAATTAGGAATAACAATTTGAGCGGTACGCCGCATTGTACGTTCGTTCTCCCGTAATAAAGTCGAACCATTGTATCTGGTTAATTATCTTCGCTCCTGATTTGTGGCTGTGCGAGAGCAGTGGTTCAAAACCAGCGTTTTTAATTTGAGATAATGTTTACTGTTATTGTGTACGGTGCTCGAGTTTAGGGTTAAATATACTTGGTGAGTAATGATGTAAAATTGTGTTATACGATAATTATTAATCATGATGGACTTTGATAATAAATTTACTGTCGATTCATACACACAGACATATCTGTATGAATACAGATAACCATAAATATGGCATCCTTATAGATATAGCGGTGTATGTTGCCAGTTCGTACAATAAGTCCGAAACAGAAACAGTCTCTTTCTTTTTTCTAACCACAAATGTGACCAAGTATGAAAACAAAAATTTGTACACAAAAGCTTTTGATAATACCATTCACTACTGCTGATGCCAGCCACGTCAACTTTGCCGAGGTTTGCCTGGTGCCCTCTCCCTGGCGGCGCCTAATGCAGCCGCATGTTCTCCGTGGTTCTTGCGCTGGACCTGTCTAAGATGATAATTTGGTAGATGGTTTTGTTTTACGATTATAGAAGCTATTGACACTTAACAAAAAAGTACCCTTTTGTCCATGTTGCAATTACTCAAGCTCCCTCTCTTTTAGTGAATTTCCCAAATAGGGAATAAGCTATTAACGTAGTAGTTATGGTAAGACCTGGACCCAGGACCGATTTACTTTTTCGTTTTAAGGTCCCTAGAGGCCAAAAACACCATCCGTTTCAAATTCATATATATATGTATTTGTCCGTTAGCACGATAACTCTGAAATACGGTATAAACTGTAAACCTACATTTATTCAAACGAGTTTGCTAACCAGCATGATCGGACCATGGGAACGAGGGTTTATGGGGGTTTTATGGGGTAAAAATGGGTTTTTCCCATTTTTGACCCTAAAAACAAAATATTTGGCAATTTCTTTCTAAACCATTTTGTAGAGCTTAAATAAGAAATAATTTAGTTTATTGAAGCGCTGTTGTATGCCTTAACAGTTACGCAGAAAAAAATGTAATTTAAAATTCCCATGTTATTCTTATGGAGAAAATGAAAACTGTTGTAGTTTACTTGTTTATGGATATATGTTGATGAAATTTGGCAAATTGATTTATTTCATCCTATACTATTGACATATGGTAAAAAAACACTTTTTACATTCCCCGCAGCAGCAAACCTAAGTACTCGTTAAATCTAATGATGTTATTTAATTTGGCAATAAATATGTCTTAGGCCTATTTATGGAAATATTTTGGTAAAAATGTAATCAGACAAGTTGAAATACGCTTAGTCTGCAGGTTTGCTGTGACAGGGGTATTTTTTATTATTTCTGGTGGAATAAATTCAAAAAATTCTTACTCAATTCAATCTATAACCATTGAATATTGGATTGATACAGAAAATGTCTCAATAGTCAAAGCTATAACTATGTATATTCAAATCAACTCAATCAAGTTACTAAAATACCAATAATATATTGTTTGCAGCGTTGTTTAATATTAAAATTAAAATTATGCTCCCTTTAGATGTTGCTACTTTCCTACCTGTTTATACTTTTATTCTATTTTTTGTTTTGTATCAAATTACAGGAGATTGCAACACCTCACTTCACAATGATGTTGTCAACTACTCCCGTCATGGTTTGGTTAATGGAGTGAGAGCGTTCAGTACCATAAACCAACAGCTGTTGACAACACAGATACAGATCCAAGACTCGGCCATAGCTCTTGGTCGAGCCAGTGATGTGCTGGGAAAACTTGGAGAAAGTCTCAATGCCCTCCTATCCACCCCTTACATACCAGATATTGATGTTACTAATCTTTAGTTAGAAATTGTGGGGTATTTTTGTACTTCACAGATACAGTTTTCCGTCTTTCTCTGTAGGGGTCTTAAAATTTCCAGAGTTACGTCTAAATGCAAAATATAATATGCTATTTAATTAAGATCACTTACTATTTTAAGGCAGGCCCCCTTTGTATTTGGACTGATCAGGCTGTAGCCCACAGCGTCAATTTTTAGGGGCGCCAAATTTCTTAAAAAGATGTTTTACAATAACTTTTTGATTAGTTTGTTAAAAACATATAAAATACGCCAAATTCTGACCTCTAAAAATCATTAAAAATTGTTTTCAGTTACTTCAATTTTGAAAATACCCAAGACTGTGTAACCTTGGCAAGGTTGTGTAACCTTGAAGCTTAATGAGCATTTAGTATTGTATATTCCAGTTATCATATATATTAAAACGTGACAGGGTTTTTTTATCACTCGATTCTTAATCAACCTCTTGACGGATTTTCATGTTTTTGTGTTGAAAGAAATATAATTTTGAGAACTAAGGAATGTCTAATCATAATTTTAGTTTAGGGTTTCAGTTTCTTAGCAATCAAGGTAAAATTTTGTTTAAGTCTAGCAGCCGACGCTAATATTCTAGACTAGCTTTTGATATAACACCATTTTCTTAACGTAACAGCTGTAAAAAATCAGCCTTCGAGACATAAAAATTCAGCATTTGGATAAAAATGAAATGAAATGATTCCCATACACGTTGGACGGGCCAATAGCTAGTTTATTAATAATAGTATACATAGATGTTTTAAATTGTTAATATTTATCTTTATTTATTTTAAATTATTATTTACACTCTTCCTTTGATTACATTGTTTTTAGTATCGTAGATCGTATACTACAGTTGTTTGTAAATATTAGTATAAGCAAATGTTTAAGATTGTTAATATAGCTTGTTAATTTTTTTTGTGTGATTATTAGGCACTTCCTCTTCATTACTTTTCTTTAACATAAACATATTGTTTTAAAGGTTTAAAAGGTTCATATAACCAACAAAGTCTTTCTTGGAAAGCAAAAGTTGAAGTTTTGCTGCTCTTTCGCTGACAAGATGCAAAAGACTTTTGACAATATTAGTATTGTAAGACTGATAACTTTATTTTAACCTTCAATATTGCTCAGCTTATCTGTGTACTTTGCAAGAAGGACATTACCAGCTGGTTGTCGTGCGAATACCAAGTTTGTAATTGTGACTAGATTTTAAGACAGGGTACCCAAGTTTAACAACACAAGTTTTTTGAATAATATTTTCAGCTCATTTTAGGTAGGGTACCTACTTGATACATACATTTTAACATTGTCTTTTGGATGCTGAAGTGGACATCCCACCCATATCGATCAGCTGTCGTAAAATGTTTTATTAAAAAACAACATAATTGTGTAAGCCAGTCACAGATTGCGCTATTGTCTCACCTTCTATTTCCTACCTTATTTGTTGTCGCTGAGATAGTCTGCATGATTCAAAAGATGCTACAGCTTACAATAAGTCATCCTATCAGTGTTACTTAGTTAAAAGCCAACATATTCGATATAAATTAGCAATTTAATTTAAACGAGTGATATTTGGTGGTTCAACTACGTTAATTTTGATTTTAAAACCTTCGACTTCTTGGCGATGAAACGTCTAGTTCTATCAATAGTCAAAGATTTTATCTAATTGAAAATTTTAGTTAACAATCCATATTTAGTACATGTTTTTTAAGTTGATAAAGTAGAAATATTTAATTAGTTCAGTAACTACAAAAGCTCAGGTATTATTATAAAAATATTTAACACTCAGAATCCAAAGAATAAGATTGTTGCGGAGCGTATGCGCCAATGTTTTGATAATAATAAAAAACTAACACTTTGAAATGAACTATGATTTTATTGATGCAGAAATGAACAAATGATTTTAGTGAACTGTATAATTTAAACGGATGCGGTTGTAAACTAAATGTGAATTAAGATTAATTAAATACGTGAGAAGGGTCTGCCTCTCATGTCCTATATGAAGCTGAACGAGAACAATGTTACTTAACCGACACAACAATAAGTACCGATCGATCCCACAAACCACCCTTACCCACGGTCCTAGATAACAATTCTAAAGATAGATAGAAAAGGTTAGTTTATGTGACAGTATTTGTTCCTCACGTAGAACAGTCTCAACTGCTTTGTTAAGAAGCCGACTAAATGCCCTAGCTGACGGTTAATGCGATCGTAAACAACTCTAAAGGTTTGACAATATTTTTAATTTGGATAGCGGAGATATCTTCTAACAACATAAATATAAAGATAAACAACAAATTAAATAAATACAATTACTCTCCCCAACAAAGATTGATCTCTTAACTCTAGAATATGACAAGAAAACCTTTTCACTTTTTATTTGGAACATTGTTTGAGGCTACCCTACATGTTTAATTTTTCACTGATATAGTTTGTTTTCATTGCCATAACTTGTGACAGCTTAATGATGTCAGTAAATCTGATTAGAGGCTTGTTGATATCAGTCAATTCACTTGGCTGTGAAGTTAGCCATGATTTCTTTTACTCAGTTTGTTGTAACCTCGTCTATACTTATCGGAATGTGTTTAAACAGTGAGGTATGTTGAAAATTGTTAATGTTAAATAGCCTTAAAATAGTTCTAGCATTTCGTACATTTTTCCTAATACAGTAATCTACATATCGTATACTTGCCATTTATTTTTATGCCCGACCATTTTTCTTTTTTTGCGTTTTTGGTTTTTCAAGGATATGGTCCAAACCCTGATCTTGTTACAACTTAACGTTGACCTTTTTTTGATGGTATTAATTAATTAATAGCTTAATGACAAAAGTCATCTGGATCAATATAAAACCAGTATAGCACATTCTCTTTTGAACATGAGCTAAATAACCACTTGTTTACCCAAGCAATTATATTGCCAGATTTCAATAGAGTTTTCTAGTTATAACAAACATCTCTTGAATCCAAAAATGTAATTTCTGATGTTTGAATGCTTGCTTGTAGAATTCATTTGTTTTCATAAGCAACCATCTGGTCTAAAAGCTAAAGCTCCAAAACTAGGTGAGGAATGACGTGCTGCTCAGAATTTCCAAGAGCTACATAATTTAAAATATCATATTTACACTCACCATTAGTCTGAATTGGGATGTTAAGTCCTAAGGTTATATTTCCGATTTACCTAAGTAATATAATACCCCCGTCGCAGCAAACCTGCATACTAAGCGAATTTCCATTTACCCGGCTTGATTTCTACTAAAATATTCCCTATAAATTTTCAGATTTATTTCCTATTTAAATAACATTATTTTAGTGAGTAGTTAGGTTTGCTGCTACGGGGAAGATGTTGAGGTGTGTGTTTTCAATTGAAATATTGATAGCTTAGTATGAAATAAACCAAATTGCCAAATTTGATTAAAATATATCCATAAACAAGCAAACTAGAACAGTTTATTTATTCTCCATAAGAATAACATGGGAATTTTAAATTTACAATTTTTTTAATTTTCTCCGTAGTCAATGAACATTCAAAAACACTTCAATATACTAAATTATTTGTTTTTTTAAGCTCTTCAAAATGGTCTAGAGAGAAATTTAGAAATTTAAAGTTTTTAGGGTCAAAAACGAGAAAAACCCATTTTTACCCCATAAAACCCCCCATAAACCCCTGATCCCATGGTCCAATTATGCTGGTTCGCGAACTCGTTCGAATTAATGTAGGTTTACACGTTTGTACCAAATTTCATCAAAATCGGATCAATTTTGCTCGAGTTATCGCGCTAACGGACACATATATAAATATATATATATATATATGAATTTGAACGGATGGTGTTTTTGGCCTCTGGGGACCTCAAAACAAAAAAGTAAATCGGTCCCGGGTCTAGGTCTTACCATGAGACCTACGGTAATAGCTTATTCCCTATATGGGAAATTCGCTAAAAGGGTTGCCACTTGCCATGACTGATTTGATTTTTACAGTATTCATTTCACAAGAAAGATTCAATAATCCAATATTATTATTATGTTATTTGAGTATTTGGCTACAGTTCTTCTGAGAACCTGTGATATATTATCGGATAAAGTATTTTATATTATTGATTTTCATTCAGTTTGATATATTGATTGTAAAGTATTATTATTCCCAATGTAAACATCTAATTGAGTTATGTCTGTTGACGGTTTTATTTATCCTATCCTACTAATATTATAAATGAGAAAGTTTGGATGTATGGATATATGGATGTATGGATGTATGTTTGTGACAAGTGAACGCGAAAAATACTGGTCGGATTGGGCTGAAATTTGGCATGATGATAGCTGACATTCCCGATTAACATATAGGCATATTCTTATTTCAAAAATCCTTTCGGGCTCCGCCCCAGTGGCTCTGGAGTTTCCCATGTTAACCTAATGAGAAATGGAATTATTGAATCTTAACAGCTGTTTCAATTAAACAAGTTGGTCCTGTTCTATGATGTTCAATAGCATTAAAGTTACAAGGATTACCAACAGGGTGCAGCACTATTATTTCTTTTACATTTATGACAACAGCTAATTTGCAACCAAAAGGTGAGTGAGCGTAGCGAACGAACTTCAACCTGGAGGCGAGTTAGCGAAGCGAACGAGCTAAACTGAAGGCAAGTGAGCGCAGCGAACGAGCTAAACTGAAGGCAAGTGAGCGCAGCGAACGAGCTCCAACCTAAAGGTGAGTGAGCGTAGCGAACAAACTTCAACAAGGACGTGATTGAGCCATGCGAACGAGATAATCTTGAAAATTAAGAAGTTAAACGGGGCAAAGCCCGTGGGTTACAGCTAGTGTTTAATAAATTAAACTATTCATATTTAACCAAAAACAATATATTTTTCCTACAGACAGTTATTGTAAAGCATATAAATAACTAGTCTTTCAAACAGTAAACAACACGTTATTACCTTAGGTTAAATAAATCCAAACATTGAACGAAATGGGAAACGCTGCTCCAGCTGATCGTAGTTGTTATATCTTTAAGTGTTGTCAGGTTATTTTCAAGTATACACGTATTATGGGCCTAATAAAAGCACGCTGTTTTGTGTTGTTTGGTTGTAATACTGGCATGCGGCAAAAATAAAAAGTGTGCGCCAAAAGTAGATGCAGTAATTAGCAACTTTCTTTGCTATAATCAGTGAAAGGAAGGCCACTTTGTCCAGTGACTGTAGGAAAAATATATTTTCCAGATTCATACCAAACAACACAAAACAATGTGCTTTTACTATGGAAATAATCCAAACACACTCTTGTGGACCCTTGAAAATAAGTTGGAAACACTTAAAGATATTACGACTACAATCAGCTGTTGCGTTTCCCACTTTGATCAATGTTTGGATTTGACCTAACCTAAAAACGTGTTGAACACGTGTTTGAAAGACTAATTATTATTGATATGATTTATAGTAACTGTAGGAAAAATTTAATGTGTAACCCAAGTGCAAACTGCCTTAGCTGCACTCGAGACACTTTCCGCACGAGCCGTACATGTAAACATTTTTTTTATTAATGCTGCAAAGAGGATGAAAAACACAAAAAGTAAAGATATTTATAATTTATCTAATGATCTGGTTAAAAATATAATTCACAGTATTGCTCAACCGTTATCTTTTAGCTTCAGCCAATGTCTGCAGGAAGGTATTTTTCCTAGTAAATTAAAAATCTCAAAAATATGTCCAATTTATAAGAAAGGCGCAAAAGACAAACCTGAAAGCTATCGACCTGTGTCGCTGATTCCAATTTGTTGGTAAACTCTTCGAAATGTTGGTTTATGATCAAGTTAGTTATTTTTAGAAGACAATAACTTTCTCAATTTTTCTCAATTTGGTTTTCGGAAAGGAAAATCCACTGTCGATGCTGTGGATCGGCTCGTAAGAGAAGTGC